ACCCAAACATCACCACAACATATCCCCATAAGTGGCACTAGGATGAGCGACATAAACCATTGTGAGCCCTTCACTGAACTTTCAAACTCCGTAAAGTGCAACGCTGCTCACGGAACATGTTAACAACAGTCCGTTACAATACATTCCATTCACATATACACTACATTCCTGGTTTTAGTTTAAGCGAATTCCCACGCTTACTCCTTTTGAGTTAAATATTGTTCGTTGGTTCATTCGTTCATTCATACAGTAAGCTAGGTTAGGCTAGGCTCCAAGAGGTGAACTAGCCAGCTAGCAAACTGCACACGAAAGATAATTTCGATACGTATAATTACCTTTTTCTCCTCATGCCTTTGGATGTCCACGTGCCGAAGTGCTGCTGCGCTTGATAGCGGGGTGCACAGTGTCTCCCGATTGGACCCGCAGCAGACAGCGGCACGCCGCTACGCTGCCGGGACGGAAAGAGAGCTGCTAGGTGGCTGTCGACTGTGTCCACACCTAGAGCCCCGGAAACGACCGGCTGCTGCTGAACACTTGAGGCATTAGACAATGTTCTGATTGTCTCCACTGAGGCCAATATATTGTTTAATAACGCCGCTGCTTCGGCTAAGTTGCTTGAAGGCTGTTGAGCACATGGTTGAGCTGACATTATTGCCGCACACCTTCCGTTTTAACTGAAACACCTTCCGTTTTAACTGAGATTTTCATATGTGTGTGTGAGAGCTTTTCAGTAGTGTGTGTGAGAACTTTTCAGTAGTGTGTGTGAGCGTATAGAATTCTAGTAGTGTGTGTGAGAGCTTTTCATATGTGTGCGTGCGCGTATAGCATTCCAGTAGTGTGTGTGAGAGCTTTTCATATGTGTGTGTGAGCGTATAGCATTCTAGTAGTGTGTGTGAGAGCATTTCGTATGTGTGTGTGAGAGCTTTTCAGTAGTGTGTGTGAAAACTTTTCAGTAGTGTGTGTGAGCGTATAGAATTCCAGTTGTGTGTGTGAGAGCATTTCATATGTGTGTGTGAGAGCTGAGACGTGCCCTTGTTATGCGTCGGTCAACCCTTAACAAGTTGTCCCCTTAAGTGTGCGTGTTTTTGAGTGGATGGTCTGTTGTGTGTTGACGACTTGTGTGGTATGTACGTCACATGTGTGTTAGTTTCTGCGTGTTGCCATTCCAGAGTTGCCTGCCGTTGTGTCATCGGCCACAGCGTCGACTTGGCTGACCTCTCATCTCTTTAGTGTCTCTCTATTATCTTTAGTCTCTTTAAGCAGAGATTGCTGATCTAATACGTTCTGAATTTTATTTTATTACTGATGAAGCAGAATGTTCGTGATAGTTAAAGGACCAATCTGTGCAACTGTAAACAAATATTATTATTAGGTATTAGTGCTGTCATAAGATTCATTTTTTATTCAATGAAATTGAAATGACCCATTTTTGTTTTTTGTACCAATTGTTTTTATTTTTCGATTAAAAAAAAGTAAATTGGAAAAATATTGCAAAACAGTTGTATTTTTGAATCTAGTTTTAGCCACCTGAGGGCAGAAAGACCCGCTGCAAACACAACACAGACATATCTTCTGTTTGGGTATTCATCAACCCCTGATGCAAACATGTTTCTCGTCAGCTGATAAATGCTCCACTGTGTTCACCACTTAGTTGCTAAACGTGTGTGTCGATGATGAGCGACTAGCGTCCAGCAGATACAGAAATATTGAGTAATGCAGCTGTAGCAATCAATCTCGTAGATGGTCCCTTGGCTGCTGATCAAAGTGCCGCCAACAGAGGACGAAGACGGGGGGGGGGACTTAGTCAGGCTGTGAGCTCATTTTGTTGCATGGACAACTGCTTCAAGGAATGTCAACGAGGAGTCGTGGATTGAGTCAAGACAATGTAATCCAACACAAGGTCCCACCTGACGCATCATTATTCATAACGACTGAACACGGGGCAAACAAATGATTGGACGGATTGTGGACGCGTCCCGTGTGGAACCTCAGCGTGGTGACCTTGAACAAGATGTCGGACTCCCTATCAGCCAGAAGAAACAATGTTGTGTATCCGAGCATGGCCTCCGACCACTGCGTGGGGGTCAGAGGTCATGCTCGGATACACAACATTGTCAATAAAGGATCCGTGCATCACTCGTAATTTTGCATGATACCATTAAAGACTTGTGGTCAGCTGGGAGCCCAAACTGAGACCGCTCGGAGAGGGAGAGGCATTTCTAACACGTCTCAAGCACACGCCACTACTCTGCTTGCCGCCTTCCATCCCACTATGATCACTGGCTTACATATGGTCGCCATCTGGCCTGGCAGAACAGAGCCAGAGCCTCGCGTGGCACAGTGCTGCTGGGATCCAGGTTCAGTGGCGACATGATTAACCCTTTAGAGCAGTGGTTCTTAACCTTGTTGGAGGTACTGACCCCCACCAGTTTCATATGCGCATTCAGCGAACCCTTCTCAATTGGAAAAATACAATTCAAAACATAGGTATACATTTTACTGGTGCACAAAATGAACCATGCATCCAACATCAGTGTTCAAAGAACAAAACCATTAAAATCGTTTTTAATACTTCTGCCAGTTTTGGAGGCAGGGTTTTTGTTGCCAACGCATGCCTGTGCAGAATACAATGAGTAACAATGATGTGTGGTGCATCGGCTTTCACTAGCGCACCAAAACCAGACTTTCTTCCCAGCATGACTGGAGCTCCGTCCGAACAAACTACAGAAACCATATCCCACGAAAGATTGTTGTCTTTGAAGAAGTCATCCACAAGTTTCTTCATATCGGCTGATTTAGTTGTTGTCGTAAGAGGCTTACAAAAGAAAAAATCTTCCTTTATCACGTTGTCTTTCACATAGCGCACAAATACAGCAAGCTGGCTTAGATTGGAAACGTCTGTGGTCTTTTGTGGTCTTTTTTTGCTCGACATAGTTAGTATGAAGGGATTAAAATATTAAGAAAGAAATCACACGACGTACCATCACGACAGTCACAATTTGACTACTGAGCGCATCAAATTCCCTGCAGTACAGATAGGCCAAGCGATGTTGCGTGATCACCTGCAGCCAATGATGGCCAAGCGGGGTGTGTAATCACGAATCATATGAGTCGGGTGTGTGTCTTGACCTCCGCCGAACCCCTGAGACTGACTCACCCCTGGGGTTCGATCGAACCCAGGTTAAGAACCACTGCTTTAGAGCCACAATGGTGCTCCAAGAAGACTCATTATCTCATGTTCGATGGCACCGCTTGAAGTGAGTTTCTATCTTGTTGTGTCGTCTCGAGTGGGCAGTTCCATCTCAATTGTATTTCCTTGGTGTACCTGCTTGCAGTGTGTTTAGGGAAGCACGCTTTTTCGTGGGCCCTGGTGCCTCCAAAATAGATTCAAGTGCAGGGTAGGAGCCACATGGAGGTCGGAGTTCCTGTCCCACTGCTGCAGCCGACACTGAGAAACCCCACAGAGGATCTGCATAAGCCTGCCTACACAACTTTGTTTACCAGTTGTTTGCTAGTGCCACATTCTGAAAGGGAGACGTTTGTACTTCATATTTTGGCTGGAGTTTTATCCAGTGGCTTGTCTCCGGCAGAGGAATACGTGTTTGCCGATGCACTCTTCTCACAACATGACTACGGCGCTTCTGGTGACATCTTAAAGGGAACCTTTGAACTCATCACTTCTTCTTCAGTCGCGGCTGAGCATCATTCCGCCTCCTCTCCTGAGCGAGGCCGAATAGCTGCCGCATCGCAAACAGGACTCGTCCACTCATCTTGTTCGGTCTGAAACCAACACATTTGCAGAGAGATTTCTGGTGCAGTGACAATCGCAAAGGGGATAGTGAAAGCCATCACGCAAGCACACACGGGCAGTCGGCAGCATGTAAGAGCTCCATCAGCTCTTCCCTGAGGGTAGACAGTGCGTCGCATTAGCTCGCCAGAGAGCTAGTGAGTCACCTTGCCTCAGTGCGTCGTCGGAGCATTCCACTTCCCCGTCAGCCGGTCCTGTAATTCCTCTCAACCAAGGTTAAGGAGCCGCACAGCGAAGCTCAAATGAAACAGAGAGGTGTTTTTAAGTATTGTCAAAGGCGTCCATTCACCATCCCCACTCCCCCCCCTCATGCAGCCCTACGACACATGCTGGCAGCGCAGGTTACTGCCGCGGCAGGAGCCGCCTCCGGCGGACAGGCAAAATTCCGATGACGGGGGTTGAAGGTTGACAAGGTTAAATTGAAAAGTGCAACGTTGGACCGAATCACATCAAAAGACGTGGGCGGCGAATCACGTGTTCGCGCTGAAAGCCGGCTATTTACTTTGGCACGTGATGGTTTAAGAAGAAGAGTGGGAGCGAGGAAGGGGCTTGTGTGGCCCTCCCGCTGCTTTTAAATGGCTCACGGTGGGTTTCCTGGAGTTTGCCAAACAGCTCGCCAAAGAGGGCCCATTGTGATGAGATCCTGCGCTTGGTTTCAGATGTGCAGGTTGACAGTGGCTATGTTAATATTAAATTAGCTGCATATTATGAGAAAGGAGCCATGAAAAAGTTAGTTTTTTAAAAGTATTTCAAAGGCTCCGCAGAGAGTCACTGCTTACAGCCATTTCACGAGTTCACACCCTGTAAACGATAAGCCGGAGGAGGATAAAAAATTGGCTTCAAAGTGAAATGGAAATCGCTCGTCACTCTCCGAGCGAGGAAGAGCAGCGAACATCAGAGGAGTGACTAATGGAAAGGGATTTGAAATATTACACATTTTCTGCCTTTGGGAGAAGTCTCCTGACAGGTGCAGCTGTTTACTAACCAAACGTATTTCAACTTCTTTAATATATAAATGGAAATAATGACAGCATTAAAGTAAAATAAACTATATTTTATACACCCCTTTTCCATCACAATCAGACAAATTGAACCTAATTGATTATATGCATGTATCAGTCAAATTGTCTCTTTTCAGGCTGCATTACTGTGTTCCACCGTAACATTAATGTCATGCCTCTCTCTCACTCAGGTGTGCTGTGCCTACCTGAGGGTCTGGCTCTCTACAGGGACCAGCAGCAGCAGCGAGCAGGGAAAAGCGGCGAGGGGAACGCCTGCAGTCAGCCCGAGCTGCGCTCCATTGAACAGTGTTTACTGGCCACAAGAGTGGGCAGCATCTCTGAACTCAGTGAGTCATGTGTGTGGGGGGGGGGGTGCGGGGGCGGGGGGAGGTTGCGATGACTCTCTGAACGTGCTCCGTGGTCATTGTGCGGTTAATTGCCCATTCTCTCGAGTAGAGCGGCTCACCGGTCAGCGTCAGGTGACGGTAGCTCAGACGAGGCGCGTTTCATCGTGACAAACGCCGCAGTGCGAAAACATCACACGGCCGCACGTTTGCTGAGGAGTAATTTGACTTTCTCTCGTGCTCATCCGGCGCCTTTGGGATGACGCCCCTGACCGCTGGCCTCATCGCCCCCCGAAGCCAGCACGCAAACTCACTGACAGGCTTTTACAGCAAAGGCACGTGTCGCAGTATGAAAAGTACAGTCTCCCAGTACGTACTGATGGTGTTTCTGTGAACTAGCACGCTCAACAAGCAGGACGCTGAAACTGAAACGGCATTTGAAATGCAGCTGTCATTAATTATTTAAAGCGGACATCTTCTGCTCTTGCAGGTCAAGATGTGAAAAAAGGTTTTGTACTATACGTTCTCCAGAGGATGTAAAGGACCAAAGCCAAACAGCCGGGTTCTGTTGCGTGCCGGAAGGGTGGAGGAGCAAAGATTATTTTTTCTCAGACTGATAATACATATTAATAAAGCATTATTTAAACTGATACAGCCAAATGAAATCTGATGCACCCATATTCAGCGGTGCATTTTAGCCACGTTTGTGGCAGATGACATTCTAATAATTGTGTTTGTCGCACCAACCTTTCCTTTAGGTCTCCCAGTGTCTCTACTTCTAGTAAAACATCTCCCCGTTTGCTAGAGGGATTGGATGAGCAACTTGTACACCTTTAACATTCCTGCTTCCCATTGGATGAACCCTGATGACCGTGGCAATCAGAGTTCATCCAATGAACAAACTCTTTAGTTTCATCTATTAAGTGATTACAAAACATTTTGATAGGAGTTTTTTTTTTCAAGTCGTGCAGCTTGAATTACTGGGAGTGTCCTTCATTTTGGGGTTCAACGATATTTATGCCTGATACGATAGTGAGATTTAATAAGACACAAATATTGTCCCACCCTATCAGTAAATTGCTGTATCATCATCCCGCCGTGCATTCATATGTGTATATTTATTTGAATTATAATTAGTCCACTCTTGGTGACAGCAACTCTAATGAACCAGCGCTATTTATTTAGCTAATAAGTTTGACAAGCTCTCCAAAGGTTAATTGAATGTCTGTCCACTCACAACGCACTCATCATTCAATAATGGGCATGTGAATCATTTCTGAATACATTTATACAATACCAAATTATTTACATGGGTCAGTTTTATACAACCATAAAAGGTTTTCTGATTGTGTTTCACCATATTGTCCTTAGTCAGCCAACAAAGTTTTAATACACAAATTCACCAAATGAAGTTCAGCACAAGATCTTCACTAAAATGTCCTCCTTGTTTACTGTTCTGGGCAATATTCTGAATTTCACAGTGGTGTATATTCACTGTGCAGCAAAAACCATTTTCATGTTGACTCTTTCGATATAATCATAGAATCATCATCATTTTGGTCTCATCCTAGGAAACATATCCGAGTGCTGTGATGTCGTCAGACGAAACAATAACTAATTCCAGCAAATTAGTGCAGCGTATCTCCTGGTACGCACGAAGGAAACAAAACAAAAACGACGAGGATGAGGTTATTGAGTCTGTTTCTGTTGTCATGGCATTGGGATGTCAAGGGTAACACAGAGCCAATTCTCCTCACTGTATGTTTTCTCAAGAGCGAGGGGGGAGGAGCCGGGTGCGAATTGCCACTCGTCTGTCCACGTTGTGTTGATGAGGTCATGCAAGAACTCGTTCTGTCATGTTGACACTGCCAACGCACTCTGGGGCAACAGAGCGTCCAATAGATGATAGCAGAGCTTAGGCCAGTGGTAATGTTATCAGCTCTGGAGAGGAATTCTTAAATGAAGTTTTTGCAAACAGAGACACGACACAAGCCAGGAAAATGAATAATTGAGAAAAGCAGAAGAGCATGTAATGATTGCATTATCAGCCTGTCATATTGTGCATCTGAGAGAGCAATGTCTGGGAAACAGTGGAGAATAAAAGATGGGAGGGTTTAGAGAGTTGGATTTTCTAAAATAGATTCCTTGGAGTACAATAACGTTAATTAACATCCCATTCTATTCCGCTGGCATTTACACTCAATTTTCAGCGTTTCCCCCAGATTTACCTAGGGGAAAATCTGCGCCCAAATGCCAAATTAGCATATGCTGAAATGACTGGAATTCATTCAAATTGCAGGAAATACTGCAATCATTAGGATTCCTGGATTCACTGAGTAATGCCGGACGAATTTACAGATAAAAAATGTGGGGTATATTGATGTTTGAATGTATTCTTAGATTTCTCAAAAAGGGTGGAGCATGAACGATGCATGCGGGTTTTCTCCACATGAATATAAATCTATACTGCTGGAGGACCACAGAGGACTGCAAGGTCAAATGGCAGCGACCTCTCTGGTCGGTCTGCGTCATCCACACAACAACTGACAGCATCATCCACTGATCCCCCCCGTTTGACAGTTTGGGAAATATACTCCATTCTGCCCGCCGTGGAGATGGTTAGCTTAGCTTAGCATAATGACTGGAAACAGAAGGGAACATCTATCTTGGGTCTGTGCATATAACAAAATGTTTTTCCATTGACCGACTGTACAGACATTTGAGTTGCATGAAGCGTTTAAACTAACTCCATTCTCCTTTAGTCTGCTAGATTTGAAGGAAAATAGTCATGCGTGGACAGTATGACAAAATAATTCCTAAATGTGTAAAGGCTGTCAAATCGCCCAATAGCGTTGGATCCAAAGTCTTCCAGAGGTCAGCATTCAGCTGCAAGGTATTAATCTGGAAATCCTCCACTGTGAATCTGGCAGCCTGAACAACCAGCAGTTTGTGGAAGTTGCTCAGATGATGACATCAAATATTGCTCTGTATAGAAAACTAATACAATGAGCATTAAATTGTTGATTTAGTTATACACTTTTGAACATTATTTTTTTGTTCCCGAACACAGTGAAGATTACATTTTACAATAACCAGAAAGAACCTCTTCAAAAATTTTGATTTTTCTTTGTCTTCATGCCTCATTTGACATTGCAATTGGGACTTTTTTCCTTTCGTTTCTGCCAATAGCTAATAAAATATACTGCTTATGGCATCATCAGTACTCTCAGTAAGCCTCTCAAAGGCCATGTTGTGCAGCATCAGCAGCAAGAGCACTTTCTTAACATCTTTACACATATTCTGTAAGATATATATGTATATACACATTTTGACTGGTAATGTAGATATGCACTGAAGGCTGACAATACTGCTTAACTTGAATGCCTGTCTCATAAAAGTAGCAGTCATTTAGGAAATGGTGCAATCATTTTAGTGTAATTCCGGATGATATCATTAAACATTGAGAAAAGCAAAACACAACCAATGATGGTATAAATGTGTGCAATTCATTTGTGACTATAGAGCAAGAAAAGAATGAAGCGTAGCCGCGTGGAACTTAACAGGATGTACATCACATCTCGTCCTCATTCCCCTGAGTGCGCAGCATCCACCAGTGCTCCTCAAATAAACATTCCCGAGACGTCCGACAGCAATAGAGTCGTCGCCTGATAACTCGCTGTGCCATCTTGTGCAGACTAACGTGCCCGGATCTCTGCAGGAATGCAATGTTTATTCCTCTCCTTCTTAAGCTTTGTTGTCGGCGGCTGAAAGCCCGCCCTGCTCTTAAATGGACAACTTGAATACGGGCAAGAATGGCATCTTGTGTCCTGTTGGTTTTTATGAATGTAGTCGAGGCTGCAAGGTGTCACAGGCTCTGCTCTCTTCCTTCTCTCGTCCTACCTCGACGGCCGCACCTACCGGGTAACCTGGCGAGGATCTGTGTCGGAACCTTGTCCTCTTACTACTGGAGTTCCTCAGGGTTCCGTGCTGGGTCCCCTCCTGTTTTCGCTTTACACCAACTCTCTTGGCGCGGTCATTCGCTCGCATGGCTTCTCTTACCACAGCTATGCCGATGACACCCAACTAATTCTCTCCTTCCCTCACTCGGACACCCAGGTGGCGGCTCGGATCTCTGCCTGTCTAACTGACATCTCTCAGTGGATGTCCGCCCACCATCTGAAAATCAACCCCGACAAGACTGAACTACTTCTCTTTCCCGGAAAAGATTCGCTTACCCAGGACCTGACAGTCAACTTTGGAAACTCCGTACTAACGCCCACTTCGACCACTAAGAACCTCGGCGTCACACTCGACAGCCAACTCTCCCTGACTCCCAACATCACCGCGACAACGCGATCCTGTAGATACACGCTCTACAACATCAGGAGAATACGTCCCCTTCTCACTCAGAAGGCAGCGCAGGTACTGATTCAGGCTCTTGTCATCTCCCGCCTGGACTACTGCAACTCCCTCCTGGTCTCCCTGCCACCGCCATTCGACCTCTGCAGCTCATTCAGAATGCAGCAGCTTGACTGGTCTTCAACCTTCCGAAATTCTCCCACACTACTCCACTCCTCCGCTCTCTTCACTGGCTACCGGTGGCCGCCCGCATCCAGTTCAAAACATTGGTGCTCACGTACCATGCTGTGAATGGATCGGGTCCAGCGTACATCCAGGACATGGTCAAACCCTACATCCCAACCCGCACTCTCCGCTCTGCATCTGCAAAACTACTCGTCCCTCCCTCACTGAGAGCAAAACACTCAACTAGATCTCGACTCTTTGCTGTCCTTGCGCCAAAATGGTGGAACGAGCTCTCTGAAGACACCAGGACCGCAGAGAGCCTTCACATCTTCCGCCGCAAACTAAAGACACACTTCTCTTCAGACTCTACCTCGACTAAAGACTAACAAATTGTAGCACTTAAATTGTACTTGTAACGTCACTCTATAGCAAATTGTAAATTGGCTTATTTGAGGAAATTGCACTTTCTTGTTTCTTGTTCTCCTGAGTTTGTACCCTATGGTTGAATGCACTTATTGTACGTCGCTTGGGATAAAAGCGTCCGCTAAATGACATGTAATGTAATGTAATGCAAGGCAGCAAATAATTGAAACACAGAAACTGTGATGGTGGCCGCAGCTGTACAGTGAAACCAAGACCCATTCATCAAGACCCAAAGGGACGCTGGGGACTGCCCATTTACTAGCCTGTAAAGCCCTGAAAATAGTTGTTTTTTCATTCAAATGGGAGTTCATTTTACATTTCCAAAGACTTTCTGTCTCACTTTTTAACGTGCCTTCACAGTCCCTGAGGCAATGAGCAGTTTGGTTGTTATTTTTGTGCTGCATTGAAGTTTCGGTAACCAACCTTAAAAGGTGCCAGACGTCATAAAATCCCTCGTAAATCAAAGCACTTTATCTGCGTGATTCCGCTTTTCTAAGTGGATTTGAAAGCGTTGAAGAGAAAAGAGAGATTCGGCCCTCTTCTTGTTAGCATAAAGAATGAACCATCCAGGATGAGGTATCGATTAAAGGCCTGCATGTTATAATGTGAATGCTATTGACCGTCCTCAACAAATAATCCTCACCGCTACTGAAAACATTTGAGTAAATCCCCTTTTTCAGCAGTCATTTCTGCAAACGCCCGGCAGCAAAAGGATCGCCAGCAGTCTCCCATTATGCTCTAAGCTGCCGCTACTTTGCTACAGCTGCTCTCTCTCTCGCCGTTTGAAATAAATCTAAAATAAAACCTCCTCCGCCTACCTGCCAGTCACAGGAGATGTCACAGGCCGGCATAAATGAGACATGAGGGCCCGGGCTGTTGCTGACCACCTCGGCTGCCCGGCACCGAGCTTAAGAGGGGCACTGTCGTACAACTTATCTCTGCTCCCGTCGGTACAATCAGGAGAAAGACTCGGGAGGGAGGATGACACACGGCGAGAGGACGAGTAGAGCTTCTTGTCCACAAAGGACTGTTGAGAGGTAGGAAGAAGACGGACGCATGAATGCGCTCCCTCTTCACACCCGCCTCTCACAATGTCGGGGTTAAATGGAATCTTGGCAGGTGTCAAATGGCCGACTTGTGATGCTCAGCAAACCGCTCGGGTCCATGGAAATGACGGGTGGTTCGGTTTGATGATGGTTTGACCTCTGGAATTTTGGAAATAGCGTTTATGCACCTATAAATAGCGTTTACGCCCCTCTAAATAGCGTTTACGCACCTCTAAGTGGCGTTTACGCACCTCAAAGTTCCCTGCGCCTTGTATTCTTCCGTTGAAAAAATCCGAAATAAACTTGGTGTACTTTTAAAACAGCTAAGACTACGTTTCCTATTGTTGAACATATAAACGCCGTAGTCTGAATCATGTTCATCTGCGCTGTATTACGGTCTGTGAGCATCCAATCAGTGCCTTGCGGCTGCAGCAGCGACACCAATCAGGATCCAGGAGGTGTGTAAACACATACACGTTGTGGATTCTTACCTCACGGACCGGTTTCATGTCAGACAATATTTCGCGGACCGGTCGAGAAGGTCCGACGGGGGGGGGGGGGGAGTAGTCGCGCGCTCTGTGTTCGCTGGTCGTGCACGGTAAAAGGACAAGAAAAACGCCTGGTGACGCGTAGATTACAAAACAAGTCAGTTCTCAATGTGAAAAAAAACATGCTGTATAGGCTATTTATGATGACATAGGTAGTACATGAGTGTTTTTAACTTATGTTGTCAGTGTAATTGACAGGCTGCTTAACTGGTTAACTCTTAAATTCAACATATTTTTTCAGGCAGTGATAGGACAGGCAATGATGCAGAGAGCACAGGGAGAGGAGAAACACCAGGTCGAATAGAGAGAGGAAAAGCACAGAGGAGCCATGTTCATGGTTCATGGCTCCTCTGTGCAAGGCAGGACCTGACGTGGAGGAGAAGGAGGCCCTCTGGGCACTACTGTAAAAAGGAGACTTAGTATGTAGATAGTTCTTAATCTGCAATTGTGTTGTTGTGTTGTGTTGACATACTTTTCTTCACTGTTTTCATAGATTTAATGAACTACAAACTACTAACACATTTATTCATTGTCATTGATTGTATATGACTTTTACTGATAACATAATGCAATATAGCCAGGACAGCCTTACAGAGTCGCGACGCTTTGTGTTGCGTTGCTTCGCATTGCGTCGAGGTCTGTATGATCACAAAATTCAGAGTTTACCCACCTCTAATTTTACCACTACAGCACTGCTTGAAGTGGACGGTGCTCTTGGCTGGATGTGCTGCAGCCTGTTTGGTCCCTTAAGTACACAAAAATGGGCTTTAACGTGCTTTTCCAGGATCTGTTTACTTTCTTTTAAACCTGCCTGGAGAATTTTCACATTTTTGTATTAGTAGAGTCCTCTTAAGCTTTGATATTTAAAGCCCATCTGGATGACCTGTTATGGAATATTTCAATAAAAGCTTGGTAGAAGACCATGATGATTTGTCTGATAAAACAGAGTCTTGATGAATGATCAAAGTTGCAAAAAGTCCATTTATTTCTTGCAAGCAGGAGGTCAAATACACAGGCACGTATCACGGTGCTCTGTGGAAATGTCGTCTCCGAGCACTAAAAACGCTGAGTTTTTATACACATGTGAAGGACATTCTCCGTGCCAGTTAGGAGAAGCTGCAAAGCAGGTTGAGATAAGAACTCAGGTGAAGCTGAGGGTAGCACACACACACACACAAGATCCTCCTCAGTGGCCGGTGCAAATCATAATTAATTGACATAAAGTAAAAACGTGGATCCGGAACTTTCGTACCGAATAAGATATGAACCAAGGCCATGAACAGAAGTCCTTAGTTTTGAAGTAAGATGTTTTGAAGTGTCTATGAGATTGAGTTGACCGTCCTCCCTTCTCAGGGCACAGCTGCAAAGCAACATTTTGTATCATGCTGCTCTTTGCACATCAGGGTCAAATACAGGACACTTGAGACACGGCTTTAGCACAAAACAATGTTATAACATATTTTTACCATTACAGACCTTAGAGTACTGACAAATTATGCAGGGGAAATAGCTTTGAGTAGCTAACATTTACCCATAAACAAATTTTCCCCATAGCAGTCCTGAGCATGATTATTCTCCCTCACCCAGTGAGCAGCACAGAAAGGCGTCTTTTTTTGGGACTATGGTGCAGAGAAACTCTCGGTTTCCCAGGACCGAGGACGGTCTTGGGGCGTCTTTTTAAATGCTGTGTGCTCTAAATACTCCTTCACACTCATGCCTGCATAGTAAGTCCCTTCTCATTACTGGTGTTCCTTTATGTGTGTCCCTGTATGTTGTGCACATGCGTTCAGGTGACCTCGTGTCCCGAGCCATGCACCACCTGCAGCCGCTGTACGCAAAGAACCACAACAACGGGACGCCGATCCACCAGAAGAGCAGTGTGATCCACTGGGCTCCCGAAGCGATCTACACGCTGTGTTACTTCATGCACTGCCCGCACATGGAATGGGAGAATCCCAATGTCGAGCAGTTAAAGGTCATCCTACGGAAAGAGAGGTGAGGAGCAAACATCTCAAAGAGCATAAGAGACGAGCAGTCAACATACTGAACGAGTCCCCGACAAACACATCTTACTAAGGTCTGGGCAGTGGAAAAGTCTCATCATTTTTCATTTTTCAGAAACTAATACAATAACATCACTGAGGACAAAAGCATTGGAGTGGAAAGCATTAATTCAACTGCACAAATTCTAATTTTCACAAACAGAATTTAATGCCGCAACAAAAATGATGGGAAAAGCTACACGTTTGTAATAGTTACAGTCAACATTTTTGTATTGAAACAAATCATAGAACATACTTGTGAAAATACTCTAATTTTTTGAAGATGAACCTACAGAGATTATTACCTTGAACTAGTAGTTTTCTTTGAGCGCTGTATAGTTTCAGTTTCAGACCAAAATTGAACTCACTTCCAATGACTGCTAATGTTACTCCTTATCTGTAGCCATGTCAGCGCAAACGGTAATGAATAAATGGGTTATATAGTGTTTTAGCATTAACTGTGGCTTCATCAACATTGATGGACGGGTTGTTGGCAGAGCTTACTATGTAACTGAATAATACTCTTTCACCATGGAACAGGAAAGTATCGCATGATGTGCACGTATTTATTCTATTTGGTGAAAAGAGAAAGTTGTCAGTTATAGTATCATTGTTTACATCCCATCAAATCTATTGATTCCATTAGACCCCTTCGCCTCATTTTGTTCTGCAGGAACCTCTGGCTTTAGGTGACCTGGGGAGCGGCAGAAAGGGGGCCGTTGGTCAGTGATGATAATCGCTGCCACCATAGGTGACTTTTACATGAATGACATACGGCCGAAGCAATGTTTCCATGGTGTAAAGTCCCCTGAGGCCTTGTCATGTCGTTTTTGGAGCCAATCCCAGTTTTCCACTACAAAGCCGTCCTCGCTTCTTCGATCTTTGGAGTTTCTACATATGAAACACTTTTTTTTTTCTGCTGGGTTTTACGAGCTGAAAAAGCACTCGTCATATCCCGCTGTAGGCCTGATATCTCGAGCCGTCTAGTGTTTCCTGCAGTCGGAGTCAGAGGCGGGAAACGGCACCGACAGCAGAGCCCGGGTCGTCCTCCTGTGGCGCTCCAGACTGCATCGCCCGCAGTGAAGCCAGCGATCTGCCAAAGCGTGTCCCCTGCTGGACGCCTGCTTTAGCTCTGATCACAATTTTGTAAAGGCAATCCAATTAACGCACCGTGCGTCTGTTTTATTCACATTTAAGCACATTGCCAGAGCCGCCGTTGGGGGAAAGCAGACCTTGGACTGCTTGTGAGCGAATGTGTCCCTTGACTCTGGATTAGGTGTGTGTGTGTGTGTGTGTGTGTGTGTGTGTGTGTGTGTGTGTGTGTGTGTGTGTGTGTGTGTGTGTGTCTGCGGGGACAATGACGCCACATGGTGCTGCAGGTCAAGCTGCTTTGAAGTTATCACAACAAAAGGGTTTGCATTTCTTAGTAGATCAAACAGATATCACAGGAGCCCAGTGTCATCTCAGAGTACCGTCGATGAGTAGCTAATTAATAACGAGCAGATACGAGCCTCGAGGCGTCCTTTGTAAAGTGATGTATTACACAGCAAATCCGTAGAACAGGACCAAGTGTCATCAAGTGGCAGGTCTGTCTCATAAAAAAACACATTCAAACAAACTGTATCAAAGGCGCTTATGAAATCAAACTGCTTTTTAATGCTACGATCCTGATTCTGTTTCATATTAAAGCGAGGTATGACATAAGAAAGATTTGTGTAAACTTAAACCTTGTCTCTATTAAAGTTATTTTTATTATTATTTGCACAATGTATTTGTGACAGCTCATTGTTTTACATAAGTGAAGAAAGTGTGTATTTATATCCATAACACTCAGTAACATGTAAACTTATCTTACGCTTGCATGGATACAGGAGACAGGAAGAGTGCAGTAGGTTTGAAAAATACGAAGAAATCCTTAGTTTACATTAAGCACAGAGAGAGCTGTCATAAATACTGTAAAATATGTTGTCGTGCAATAACCACACTCATCACCCATTATGTTTACAGAAAACACCATCATGGTCACCATTATGATGTCGTACAAAACACATTAAAAGCAGAGCTGCTGTCGCGGGGCAGTACATTTTATGGCATAAATTAATGAATATGCATCACACATATGTTGCAATTCAATGTGTGGAGTTTCATCGCTCATTACAGTTATGGGCTTCTTCAGTTTAACAAGCAGAGCTTAATACGGGGCTGATGATGTTAAGCTCTGCTTGTTGAGCTTTAGGTCTTTAGAATTGAGCAGTGTGTATAACGATCTTCATCGATACGCACTGCATAAATATCAGAATAAGGATTTTTGATAGATGGTCTGTGATCCATGATGATCTCGGTCCGGTTTTACACTTCCTCACATCAAACTGTCTCCCTGTGACTTTTACGCTGCGTCTTTTGATTTTATCTGCCACACACCGTTCGCCCCCGCCTCTGAAATAACATGCAAATTCTGCCTTAGATGGATTTTCCTTGAAGGTTTACTCTGCACATTCAAAGTACTGAGCGTGACGTGAAGTCCAGTCTCTCGTGGCCAGAAACGTGTACCTCTATCTCTCCCTGCAGGCCGTTCATAGTGCTGCCACCGCTGATGGAGTGGGTGCGCGTGGCCGTGGCTCACACAGAACACAGACGCAGCTTCTCCGTTGACAGCGACGATGTTCGGCAGGCTGCCCGACTGTTGCTTCCCGGAGTGGACTGCGAGCCCCGTCAGCTGCGGTACGGCTGTGCGCCTATGCGGCCCCCGAGCCTCTTTATTTTGCACGTGTAAAAAATGTAAAATTAGAATTAAACCTATAAGATATTCAAGGGAAGCATGTGATGAAAACAGTACACTTGCATTGTGAACCACTTTTGCTTTGTTTTGCTTTTCAGAACGGATGACTGCTTCTGGGCCTCAAGAAAACTGGACGCTGCCTCTACTGAAGCGAAGTTCCTGCAGGACCTGGGCTTCCGTATGCTCAGCTGTGGTCGCACAGACCTGGTGAAGCAGGCGGTCAACCTGCTGGGGCCTGACGGTATCAACAGCATGAGTGAGCAGGTTAGAGTCACAGTCAACATGTTCAATAATGCATGCAAACACAGAAGCACACACACACACACACATACTTTGCTTGCATGGCTCCTTCACCTTTAAGCTCCCTGCAGCCTTTTGGGCAGAAAGGCAGCTATAAATACAACTATACAACACATATTCTGAAACTATATTCTGAAATGTTTCCTAAAGCCTTCCTGCCAAGGTGCTCTGCATCACATCTTTTTCAATGGAAATCAACATTGAGTTTTAAACTGATCAAAGCAAAAACTTTAGTTTAGTGTACTTTTCTGTCCCACAAGCGTCTCCGGTGGCCAAGAGGGGGGCATTGATTCATGCGGCATCGTTTAAAAAGATCGATAGCAGAATATTGCTCAAGGAGCCGGGAGGAAGGCTGTCAAGGATACAAGTTTAGAGTAAAAGTTCGGCCTTGCTTTGTAAAAAGTAAATGGCGCTAAACTAACGTTCAGGCCTCCGCAACGTGCGTCAGCCACAAACAAACTGGTCCATTGTGTGATTTAATGAACACATCTTACAGTTGGCCAAGCCCCAATGGGCCTCTGGGCTTGTGAGTCACCACAACCACCAAAGATCCTTCGGCGTGGAACCGTGACTGGACAGCAGAGTGCGAGTGAGCGAGCGCCTGATTCTCCTCAAGGGAGAGGCCAAAAAGTCAAACGCGGGGAGGCTGCTGCAATTTCGGCTGGCGATCAAATGGAAGGTGTGTGTGTAACTCGTAGTGGAATGATGCGAGTGCTCTTTGTGTGTCCCTGCCTGTGCAGGGGATGACCCCGCTGATGTACGCTTGTGTCCGTGGGGACGAGGCCATAGTGCAGATGCTGCTGGATGCCGGAGCAGATATAAACAGCGAGGTAAAGTGCCGATGACGCAGTGCGGGATGGAGTACACTTCTATCAAGTGCATCCAAACGTTTGACTGGTACTGTGTGTGTGTGTGTGTGTGTGTGTGTGTGTGTGTGTGTGTGTGTGTGTGTGTGTGTGTGTGTGTGTGTGTGTGTGTTAAGCCGTCACCATCCCGGGCCTTCGTCAGGCACCTCAGCAACAACCACTGGTCCCATCAGCCGTCGTGCCTGAACTGATTTGCAGCCCACTGCATTCACGACCTCTTGCCAAAGCACAAAGCACCCAGTCAACTTGAGTAGAAAAATACCCATCGGTTCATCTTTATTCATGCAGTCTTGAACCCAGTTGGAATTTGAACAGCTGAAGATAAATGTTGCTTGGCTTGGATGTTTCTTTCCACAGCTCGGGAGCCTTGGGGGGAATCCATGCTCTTTAAATACTCCTAGAGCCACTAGGTATCACTTTATAATGCCGCCTGCCATTGACACTTTAATTCTGTTCTGTGAATTAGGTACCAATAAAATAATTACTACTTCCTACTGGTACTTAAATGTAGATGAAAACCTAACTATGGAGCTAGAGACTAAATTGTCCATTTTAAAGGAGGAATAATTATTCTATTTTTGTAAGCACTGGGTTCAGCAGTGCTAAAAACCTAAGTTCAGGGAAAACACTGTTAACAGCAAGTAATAATGGTGAGTCGAATACGGTAATTCAACTAAATCTGCATATGAGATCCCAGTTCTTTATCGTTTCATGTGCATGTCTCTCTCCTTGTGTGTTGTTCACGTGTCCCATGTATGTTTTGCTTACATTTGGCTCCCAGTTACTCAGTGCAACCTGACCAGAGAGAAGAGCCTCAGAGAGGTCGGTGGGTCAGAGAGACCCACTGCGAAGATCACAGTGAAACCATTAGGACGAGGCCTAACTTGCAGGATCAATCCATCCTGTTCATTAGGAGGCCAGCAAACTGACACGGTGTCCTCTGCAGCCTCCAGGGTTCCCAGTTAATTACTCTGATTGGTCCTGTAGAGCTTTCCAACCCCCCTCCACCCCCTCCCCCCCTCTCTCCCTAAACTGCTTGTCTTGTGCTCCGTAGACCGTGCAGTGGTTTTAATGGCGTCATATCTCCATTCCTCATCCTTCTCACTCCCACCTACCTGTGTCCCTTCCCCAGGTGCCAAGCTCAGTGCACAAGCACCCCTCAGTCTTTCCCGAAATGCGGCAGGCGACGCCCCTCACTTTCGCTGTGTTGCACGGACACATGCCTGTGGTGCAGGTAGTGACATCCTTTCTCACCTGTGACTCTGTCATCGTGCTTCAGCTCGTGGTTGGTCTTGGTTGCCATTTTTGTCATCAAAGCTTTTTGGTGGTGGTGATGATGATGATGATGATGATGATGGTTCTCCAATACAAGTTTCATCTTCTGTTTTCTTTTTTATTTGATTTTGTTTGTGTTGTGAACCAATTGATCTATTTTATTTTAATAGAGGATATTTATCCAGTCAACCTTTGGATCCTGCCAATTTCCATTTTTGAGACAATGGATCAGACTGCATTTAGCAAGTGGAAACAAAGCAGTCTAATGGTTATCGAACTCATTTAACAAATTCTGTTTGTCCTCCAAATGATCTCTCCATTGGATTTATATATATATAATATATATTTGCATTATATTCTAATAGTGTTTAATTAACCTGAAACTCCAATATCATCTCTAAAGGACAGCAGCTAAAATAAATAAGTTAAAAAGATTACATTCATTCAAGCAAAATTGTGTTAAAAATGTAATACTTTCACACTCAAAATACCAATATTTATTTATATGCAAGGCATTTATCATTGTATTAGATGGCAATTTGTATCGAGATTTAGGAACTTGTTTAAATTATACACAAAATACAAACTCCCCAGATAGATCTGCAGCACAATTTATAAATGACCTTCACATTGTGTATGAGCAGGGTTATGTTCTTCAAATCATTTTTTTATGTAAAATGAGCCACTAATTACATTTAGAATATAATAAAGAAATAATTTAATAGTAAAACCTGATTCATGAGACTATTTAGCCATCTATCAAATATAGTTATTAATTCCGCATTGGCATTAAAATTTCAGCAAACATTAAAAGAGCAACGTGAACTTTTGCTGACGCCTTCTTGTCTAAGATTGGATGAAACGATTACTGCTCCCATGGATGTACAGTTATTAATATGAAGTGGGAGTAGGAGATGTAATTTTAGCTTACATGTAGCCCTAACATGAACATTTGATTAGATTCTGAAGAGCAGCAGATTTGCCAAAGTACAAGTCGGCTGGCAGGAAATATTCACTATTCCCTCTACAGTTTTGCATGAAACAGTCAGCGGATGAGAGAAGCGAGAATTGCTTCAGATCATTCTCATTAGCCAACCGAATCGTCCTCTTCTCCTCACCCTCCTCTCTCCGTCTACCTCCTCGGCTTTGCACCCCCCAACCATGTCCCCATCCAACCTCTGCAGCTGCTGCTGGATGCCAAAGCCAACGTGGAGGGATCCCTGCAGGACGGCATGGAGAACTACACAGAGACCCCGTTGCAACTGGCTGCTGCTGCAGGTACGGAGACCCTGGCGGGACTCTCATCCTCCGCGTGCTGAGTGACTAACTGCATCATAGCGAGCTCACAACACCAGCTGGCTGTCTATAAAAACACCTGACTGTCAGCGGGACGCCAGGCTGAGCTATGACTTCAGAGGCACATTCATCCTGGGGTCGGGGAGGGGGCTGAAAAAAGGAAGACGCACAGCGGCACGCATACAGAATAATGATTATGTTCATCCACCCTCGTTTTTTTTCTTTTTTTTTCTGGTTGCAATAGTTGAACTGTGTGCGTATAAGCTCAATTTTTCTCTCCCTGCACAGGTAACTTTGAAATAGTGAGTTTGCTGCTGGAGCGGGGGGCCGACCCCATGGTGGGAACCATGTACCGCAATGGCATCTCCACAGCGCCGCAGGAAGACATGAACTCCTACAGCCTGGTAGCAGCTCATGGACACAGGTGCGTAACACACGTTCACGTTCAACGCACTCCTGAGTGAATAAAAAGAGCATCGCAAAGTACGTTTGTTCATATTGTGTATTCAGAATACGATGTTTTTCACAACAAAGCGTGTCCATGAAATTGAGACTTCATTTGTTGGATTGGTTTGTTAGAAATGACCAAACTCTGTGTTTTCTTACACAATGAGTTTGTTTTGCTGTTGTTCCTCCTCACAAAAACACCAGGACCATACGGAATAAATTAAAACAACGACTTCAAATAAAAATACATTTTCAAAGTATCGAATATAGTAGTAGTATAGTATAGTTTCAAAGTGTCAATTATATTGTGGAATCATTTGTGCCATCTTTGTGCCAAGACTATAAAGGTCCACCAGAATAATGTATCGCTATGTATAGAACATTTTTGGATCTGCTTTATTTATAGAGGTCTGACTAGCCTTTGTTGTAAATGTGTAAAATAGTACAAATACACCTGTCTGCTTTTTAATGATATTCGTCTGGAGTCTCGTGCAATAAAACCAAATTGATCTACATGAATAGAGCCTGTAGAGTCCAATGACATGACAGTTATCTTTTGTTTTGTGCTTTTGTTTAGGAACGTGTTTCGTAAGTTGCTGTCCCACACCGAGAAGGGGAAGGGCGACGTCTTATCCCTGGAAGAGATTCTGGCGGAGGGTTCGGAGCTGGAAGGCAGAAGTCCATCTCAGATCGACCAGATCCGAACTGGGAAAGCCAAACTTAAAGCCCTAAAAGAAGCCATGTACCACAGCGCAGAACATGGGCACGTGGACATCACCATAGATATACGCAGCCTGGGTAAGCCGCTGTTCAAACTACTTGTATCCTAGAACACGTCAACACACGTGTACAGCTTCTGTGTCTGTGTGTCTTCGACATGCTCCGTGTGTATTTGCATTGATTTCTTAGGCGTTCCTTGGACTTTGCACACTTGGATGGAGTCCCTGCGCACGTGTTTCCATCAGCAACGCCGACCTCTGATCCAGGGTCTCCTCAAAGAGTTCAGCTGCATAGATGAAGAGGAGTACACCTAGGAGCTCATCACACATGGTCTGCCTCTCATGTTCCAGATCCTCAGAGCCAGCAAGGTATTTCACTGTTTGCATTTTCTCTCTCCTACTGCACATATATCTGCTTTGTTTGCTTGGGATTGTCATCAAGCAGTGGGGTCATCAGCTCCACAGAGGCCGGCGGAGCCCCTGAGACCTTCTCGATAGCGACAACTTGAGATGATGATGATGATTAATGGCATGGCTCCTCGTTCCTGTCTGTTCCCGGTCATTCGATCAGGGCCCCGTCACATTACTTGAGCTCGTACTCCGCATGGTGGGCCGCACGAGTCCTAAAACAGCACATCATCCCGTCTGTCACCTCTGTTTGCTTTTGTCTACTTTGCATTTGGCACAGTGCATCCCTGCCATCCCACGATGAGCTGCGCTGTCACTTCTGATATAAGAAAAATATACTGCAATGTGTGCACACACACACATATAAACAAAACACACAAGCATGCAGAGACTCGCATGGGTGTGCGATCCCATATTGACAGCATGCCTTCCTCCCTCTCCCAAACACTGATACACTTAGGACACTCTAGCCTTAAGTGGATTGTTGTGGTGTCAGCCCATGTCTTTGTATTGGATGGTGTGCTCTACACATCAAGGTAAAGGCCCATTTATCTCTCGATGGGCTTCTGCTGCCCGAGTCCACTGAACCCCTCCGTTCAATCATTTAGTTAAATTACTTTCTGTTCAATTCAGTTTAGTTCAGATTGATCCAGTGAAATAACTCAACCTTCCACTCCGGTTCATTCTCATTCCATTTTCTTCCTCCGTACATCCACCCGTCCGCCTACCTACCTAACTATTGACCTTCACTCCCTACCGACATTCCTTACTTATACTTTCCCTTGTGAGATAATACGGAGGGGAATCCCTGGTGGAATAGGCGTCCGTCGATAGCTGATTGTCAGCGGCGTCCCTGAGCAACCAGCTTGGTGTTCCACATTGGTCTTCCAGTGTCGCTCACCCCTGTGACGCACATTCACAAGAGAAGTCATTTGTAAAGGGAAGAAGGAAAGACTCTCCTGTTTTTCCCTTTCACACGTCACACACCTCCAGTAGCTCCGGTGCCCACGATCCCTCTTAGGAACCCTGAGAAGAAAACCGGCTGATGTTCACCTGGATCCCTGTCAAAGGTGTGAAAAAAGCTGCAAATGTGTGGTTTCTCAGAAGCTCCGCCTGAAAGTGAAAGCCGAGTGTGAAACAAGGCTGCAGAAGTTCGGACCTCTCTCACTGTGCTGGTAATTGTGTTGGGGATGTCTGTGTAGGAGAGGAGCACTAAAGGAACTACTTGTGTTCTTGCGTAACATGAACTCCTGTGTGTTGGCCCAGCATCGCATGCACAAGCAGCTCTCCTCACGCTCTGATGGTTGGTTTTTCTGTCTGTGTTTTGTCAGAATGAGGTAATCAGCCAGCAGCTGTCTGCAATCTTCACCCAGTGCTACAGCCCTTACCCGATCCCCAAACTGGCGGAGATCAAGAGGAAGCAGTCGTCCCGCCTGGGTGAGATTGAGAAATCTGCGTTGTTTATGTAAAAGCAGAGCATTAATGCTGCACGACAGCACTACATTTTATTTTTTTATTTTATTTTGAGTCGGCTCTTACTAGTAAATGCATGGTGCATGAAAATGGAAAAGTGCACCAGACGCCATCTAGTGTTCAGGGACTGGGATGGACATTTTCAAGTTATTTTGAAACAATAGCTCAAGTTCATGTGTTTATTATTATTCATTTTAATGATTAATAATTATTCATCTTTTTTCAGATCCTCTCTTCCTGAATAATAAAGACATGTCGGACGTGACATTTCTGGTGGAAGGGAAACCTTATTATGCCCACAAAGTCCTGCTCTTCACAGCTTCCAGCAGGTACGCTCACTTAACCACTGACTTCTAAGAACCGGAGTAGAGGAAATATGCATGTTCAGTATTCTGAACTCCAGATTCTGCTGTTGCGGTAAATGGAGACTCTATTGTAACACTATCTGTCTCTCATTTTAATGTCAAAAGATGTGTGAATGGATACAGAAATGACTAAGCACTTGAAATGCTGTGTTGCTGTCAGAGACATTTGTTTCTGCTTCGACAGACGTCTATTTCACTCTCACGTCGAATCACATCAATGATAACCAATCAGTCTTGTCTTAAAGGGACAGAAGATAAATGACTCATCATTCAATTGTGTTGTTGACGATATGTACCCAGAGATAAACACAAAATAACTCATTTAAAAATTGCTTTACAGTATATGAAGGTTTATTGCTCTATTCACAAATGATAATCCTTCCTCTTTCTGGCTTTCCCTCATTCAAGGTTTAAATCTCTTCTAACAAACAGACCTTGCGGTGAAAACACCTGCATTGAGATAAGCAATGTCAAATATCACATCTTTCAGGTAATGCAATTATTGTAAACAAGGGGCACTTTTAAATTGTGCTTAAGCCGCACAGTGATGCTCTTACTTGCATGTGTTTGTACAGAAGTCATCCTGAAATGGAAGCTGACATGTGTTTGCTCCTCACAGCTGGTGATGCAATACCTCTACTTTGGAGGGACGGACACTCTGCACATCAGGAACACTGACATTATGGAGGTTAGGTCCCCATCACAGACATTTCCATTCACACAGAAGTCTTTACACTACAAAGCAATAATCTAGAAACTACAGGTCACCCATTTGTGTTGCACTCTTGATTTTCACGATCTAATACTAAACTTGATGCTAAACTTGCTTCTGTGTTAATTGTTGTGGGGTTTTTTTTGCAGCTTCTGTCCGCGGCCAAGTTCTTCCAGCTGGAGTCGCTGCAGAGGCACTGTGAGATAATCTGCACCAAGAACATTAACGCAGAAACTTGTGTCGAGATCTACAATCAAACCAAGGTGCAAAACGAGATCATGCAGAATACAACCACACTAATTGTACTTCAGGAATATAAAAGGATGTTTAGGATAGAACATTTTCACTCAAGGATCTACTGTTGCACATCAAGTGTAGCCTAGACATTTCATCTGTCTCTTAAATACTCTTCTTTTTCACAGTTTCTTGGCGCACCAGACTTGGCTTCCTATATCGAGAGCTACTTCCTGAAGAACATGTTAGTATTGATCGAGTTGGAGCCATTCAAACAGTTGCTCTATGACACGCCGGCAGAAAGCCCCGCCTCTGAAATCCTGCAGGACCTGGAGAAAACCTTGGCCATCCGCATCCAGTCCATCCACCTGTCCTCCTCCAAGGGGTCCATCGTCTGATCTGTCGACCTTTCTCAACACAAGGGACAGACAATATTTACTAGCGTATCAGGGAACATGACACTGTATTGAGGATGAGGGAGAGAAACGAGACTTGTGGACGGACCAGTTGCAATCTTTACCTCTGTGAAGCTCATCGGTTGCTACTAGGCTTCTTACTGTCTTAGCAAAGAAGGTCTGTCTGTCTCGCGTTGTTGGTACTTGTCAGTTATGTGTTACAGTAACATACAATGACTGGAATAAGGTAGTGGTATCATGCCACAATTTGCCAATTCCATCAAATCACTGCTTTCTCAGCCAAGTAGTACAGCCTGCGCGTCACATGTCGAAGTGAATGGATCAGGTGGGACCAGTTAAAACCAACTGAAACCGTCCAAGCGTCTTGATAGATTGACATAATGTGCTGAGACTGAGAACAACCTCAGTGTCGTGTCATAAAAGCCATCGGTGCATCCGTGTCGGGGAGAAACGCTGCTTCATGCTGTGGTTATTTGCTTAATCATGTGGCCGTGTACGGAGTAATTAATTTGTGTGTGTGTGTCACTGCATTATCGAAGCTGACTACTCTTTAAAGCCAAACGAGACAAGCAAGTGACAATACCTCTAATGTGACGGATGCAGAAGGGGGATGTTTACCGCGTGACTTTGGGCAACTGGGTGGGAAAGAGGACCCCCCCCACTACATGGTGTAAATATTGTTCATAAGAAACAGAGCTATTGATAATGTAAGTTAATGTACAGTATATATACCCACGGATGTTTTTCTCATGTGTCTTACTGTTGGATATTGCTGTAAAAACAAGAGGCTCATCTTTTAACTATTGATGTTTAATTGTTGCATGTCAGAAGAATGACTGTATGTTTGTGTTTTGTGCTTTCACACTTATATGACTGTATGTTTAGTGAGGATATTTTTGTTATTGGCATGGGTCACTAAATTTGTAACAGTCAAATGGTTTGTCGTCATTTCCTGCGTGAAAGACATGTTCATTTTAGTGCCGAGGTAGTGACATTATCTTGTCAGCAGGTTCCCTGGGGATTGTGAAATCACATTACTTGTGTATGTGTGACTTAAAATATCTTTCCTCTATAAAGATGAATATAAAGAATACTATGAATCCGCTCATAGATTCTTTGAATGCCGTCTCTGACTCAAAAACGGCAACACATTTATTATTCATTTTCAAATGCATGTGAACCACAACGACTTCCATTTTCAGATGCACAATTCTTTAATACCTTATAATGTCAAATTAAAAACCAAATCTAAATCACCCCTTATTTCACTTACTCACAACTCCCTTTATAAAATAAAGTATACATGTAATATATGTTTGAGTTTTGGAGGTATAATTGACAGAAACTAAATATTGTGTATCTCTAAATAGGAAGGAAAGCAACACAACAGTTTGAACAGAGATGTTGTGCCGTACGCAGGATTAGCAGGTGTTCAATGTGCTCAACTGCTCTCCCAAGCATGCTGGCTGGGAATGTCACATAAAAAGAAAACATAAAGGTAATAATGAAATTAATTTCAACAATGTAGGTGCCAAGAGTTTCTATAAACAAATTAACGGTAAATATATATCTTAATAAATTAATTAATTAGATCTCACACATTATTAAATTATTGATATTCATTTCAATCATGAACAAATTCTTGTGTACTGTTTATGGCGTGTTAGAAAACACCTTATTACATTCAGTTAGTGGGCTTTTCACTCATATTTTAAAGTGCCTGTCATTTCACTGTCTGGCAGATCCTGTGAGCCGTAGCTTATATTTCATACAGTTCAAAGAGGTTTTGCAGGTGTGTCGGAAAGAGTTGGAGGTTCAGAGGGGTCGACACAGTCAGAGAGAGAGAGACAGACAGACAGACGAGTGTAAAGAAAAGAAACACGTAAAGAGAAGTAGAAAGGGAGATCCAAAGCTGTGCACGGATAACAGATGAGCCCTTGTTCTCCAAACTCCTGGTTCTGGCAAAGCGTCCCTCAGTAACGCTGTTCTCAATGAGAGGCTGATCTGCTTATGCCGACATGCACTGTGTAACGATTTAAAATAGGTTATATTTAAATGTTTTATTTTTGGGAGATTCATTTGTAGCTTGATAGTATTTTAGGCCCCAGGCTTTTGTGTCAGCTCGCTAAAGTGAAATCCAATTGCCAAACATGATACTGATTTCAATTGAGAAAAGGAAAATGATAAACTCCCATAATCACTGGAAGTGAACAATCCATCTAGACAGGCTTTTTAAAGTTTTGTTTTTTAACATTCCCAGATATTCCTAACATGCCCTGTAATGTTGCACTGGAGCTTTCTCTCTGTCGGTGTGTTTGGCATTAGGCAGAGACATTAGAATAGCAAGGGACGGGTTGACAGCGGTTGTTAAGGAGTCACCATGGTTACTAGCGCCCGGGAACAATGTTGAGCCGAGAATGCTCTGCTCTGTAAGAACGTAGAGGAATCCTGAGATCCACATGTATTTACAGGCTCACACTCTGGCACAATTCACACACACACTCAAACTGCCGTCAACCAAAAGGATCTCCTCCTGAATGTGTTGTCATGAGATTCTCTCAACTCAGCCCCCAGCGCGAGCCCCCTTTTTTTTTTCTCCCCTTGTTGTCATGCACAGGCGCTCTCTCTCTCTTTGGCACAGAGTAGGCTGGCAGCACAAGAGCCATGTGTTTTAGCGCCACGCTTTGAAGGGCTCAAAGAAAAACAACTTTTCCAAATTGCAAAACGTCCTGCGAAGGGAGAGAGAGAGAGAGAGAGAGAGAGAGAGAGAGAGAGAGAGAGAGAGAGAGAGAGAGAGAGGAGTTTGGGTCAGAGGGGGAGAGATGGGGAGCAGAAGAAGAAGCTGCAGACAAAAACAAGCTGTCCTCTATCTGGTGAGGTAATCTCATTTGTTGAAGGATACCTCAAGCTGGCAATACTCGATACAAGAGATTCAACAACAGGTGAGTACTGAGAGAGCGTCATGGGAAAATAGGAGGGAGGAAAAAAGTGTCCTCTTTGCTCAGGCGGACTAAATGAGGGGGCTATTCTTGACAGCCTGATGGCCCATTTTCTGTTAGCTCGATGCACTTTGCATTGATTTCTTTTCCTGGTCTCCTAAGTTGAAGTACTCGGATTGTCACTTTCGCACTGAAAATCAACTCATCGTGTCATGTTGACGAGCACAGCATTGCCGAAACATGTTGAATACAGATCACAAGACGTAATTTAATTCATACAGCTTTTACAATTTATTTTCCTTTCCCAGAGGCCGTATTCCTCCCTGGCGTTTGCCCATTCCCACCATCAAAGTTCACCCCCAGCTGTGTCAGTGATGCAGTGCGACGAGCTCTCAGCCAGAGAGGAGTTCACCTACAGCCACATGCCCACTCTGGAGAGGGGCGGCGGGACGCTGGGGAGACGGGGAGAGAGGGGAGGGGAGAGAACGCCAGGGGAGCGCTATAGGCCCGAGCGGGACAGCTCCACGGTGGACGTGAGGGCCAGTGACCTGCAGCTGTCCCAGCCGGAGCCTCTAAAGCACCCCTGCTTCAGTTACAGGGCCTGGCTCTACAGTGTCCTCATAGGGGTGAGAGGACAGACAGCCGGGGAGGGAAGCAAAGGAGGCACATCACATGGCGTTGCTATTGAGTCCATAACACGCAAATTTTGAAGGGTTGGGGTCATTTTTTTCAGTGTCCCAGTCTAGAAAATTTTGAGTGGCATGGTGACAAAACGTCTTGTTTTGTGCCTCCACATTCAGATGAGCGGATACAACGTCATGCCTTGCAATGTGAAAGCTCTAATAGAATGCATTGATCTGAGGAAAAAATGAATTAATTCCAAACATTATTAAAGTGGATGTGGAGGGATGTGATGCAGTTTATTGTGTGTATTGTGTCATAACATTGTGTTACCTGTTGAGTTTCTGTATTTGCATGCACGTGTGTGTGTGTGTGTGTGTGTGTGTGTGTGTGTGTGTGTGTGTGTGTGTGTGTGTCCTCAGGGCAGTCTGCTCATCACATCTGGTTTCTCTCTGTACCTGGGAAATGTGTTTCCTGTTGCCATGGACTACCTACGATGTGCTGCAGGCTCTGTAAGTGACCGTCGCGCAAATGCAATCACCGTCACGTGAACACTGGCTTCACCGTGATGTTTGAGATTCACATGTTGCAGTGAGTAAACAATAAAGGCAACACAACCGTTGTGTGTTTTAATGGATTGATAATTGAACTTCAAGTCTTCTTTCTCTTTTTTCTTTTTTGTTCCTATCGGATTTCCAGGTGGTCTATGTGTGAACATTTGCAGTGACGACCACATGCCTGGTTTGGTTTGGATGTAAACTGGTGGTGAACCCTTCTGCTGTCAATATAAATGCAATCAATTAAATATAAACTACCACTCCTAAGTTATCCTTCAAAGTAAAGCGTTTTTGTGTGTCTTTGTCTGTTCGCAGATCAACTTCAACCTCATCCTGATGCCTTTGCTGGAGGTGTTGATGTCCAGTACCGTCATCCTGTCAGCCCGCTCTGCAGAGGACTGCTGCTGCCACAGGAAGGTGTGTGTGAGTGTGCGTGTGTTTGTGAGTGATTGATTGATTGCTTTTGAGCCCTCATCCGATGTGTCTCCTCGTTTGCGCTCCGTGTCTTTCACTCTTGTACCCGAACTCCTCCGGTGACGTACGACAGATCGGTGGCTGTAGCCGACGCGACTCCTAAAAGCCTATCCTGTGAGTACACCTCAGTTTTGTTGCACATGGTGCTTCTCACATGGCCAATGCTTAAGCATCACTGGGGAATGTGTCTTACAGGTAATAGAAGTAATCGTTTGCATTTCTGCTGTATTTGGAGGAATTATTGCTCTCAACATGGACGCTTTGCTACCCGGCCCCTACTTGTCCATCACATTTTTCTGGATGCTTGTTGCTGTGAGTTTTTTTTACTAAAATGTAAACTAATACTGAGATCCATACGTGGCCTTATAACATGACTTTGTATCTCATTTTAAATCCTTTGCAGTGTTTTCTGAGTGCTATTGCGAGTTAATGTTGTGTCAGAATACCCCAAAAGATGTCTGGTGAGTACAAGGCCAAACTGCGCTTGATTCTTGTGTGACCAAATGGACACTTAAAATACTTTGGGAATAGTATCCAGACGTGACAACGCCACTCTCTTTGGAGGGGAGAGACCCTGAATTCAATTATCTTACTGGCCAAAAACCCCAAACGAGGTAGATCATAGACAGACAGAGGCTCCTGCGTGTACAGTGCAATATCACTTTTATTTAAACAATAACTTTATAAAACCACTGAGCCTCCCGCTCTATGCTGAGGCTCCCAGGTCCTAAGGTCCCACCCTCACACTTGTGATGGATGGATGTGAATCTATCTGGAGCTGTGTGTGTTTGCAAAATGTGGATCCCTTGAGCTCAGGAAGTCTCAAATGATATCTTGATGCATGTTGATGAGAATGCTCTGTTTTGTTTGCTTTTATCTCATTTATTTTTGAAGCACTTTGTGACTTTCTGTTCTCAAAAGGTGGGAAATGAAGAAAGCTACTTGATTATATGTAAAGAAAGTTGAATAAGAATGGGTGTCTTCTGAGGAAGGAGCATGTTTATCATCACTAACAACATTTCTAGTCTATCTTATTGTTTCTTCCGGGTCTACAAAAGTTTTCTTTCTCCCCTTCGTGTCTCTCAGGTGGAGGTGTTGATTGCCATCAGCAGTGTGACGTCACCACTGCTCTTTTCGGCCTCCGGCTTCCTTTCTTCCACTGTCATCAACTTTATTGATATTTTCTTGCACGACGTGCCCACGGCAAGGTGAGGTTAATGAAGTAAAAACAAATCACCAGTTTGCAGTGGGCACCAAGTATCCAGCCTTCAGCTCCTTTTGCAAGATAAAGCTCACGAGTCGATACGGTGAATCTCATTCAGAGTTATTTTATAAGTCTGTGTGTTTGCGTGCGGCACAGCAATCCTACGACATCCTGCTAGTGATTCTGATGGTGCTGCTGCTGTTGCAGGCGATTCTAACTGCAGCCACTGTGGTGCACTGTGCCTCCTACAAGAGTCAGCTCTGCATGGGGGCTCCAGAGTACCATGACCGCATGCAAAGCCCGGCCCATTACTACGACGTACGGCAGGTAAAGCAGGGGTTGTGGACACAAACCTTCAACAATAGGCGTCTGTGTTTGTACATTATGTTGCAGGTGTTTTTTCACCAGCTCTAAGGTCAAGTAAAGGACATTTAAATATGAGCACATAATGAGCTAGAAGCATATTTATAAAACACATTGTGCTGCTCATCCTTCACGCATCATTTAACTCAAATTTCTTCTCTCTCTTTCCCGCTCTGCAGCGAGCAGCCGGCGGGACGCTGCAGGATTCCGACAAGTACCAAGCCTGGAAGGCAGTTGTGGTGCAAATGGCCCAGTGAACAGCGCCACAGTACACAGAGAAGTTTGAGTACAAATGGAACACAGTGGAAGAAATTCGAGGCAATAACAATGTGTCCGGAGATTTAGAGAGAGAGATAAGAGAAAAGAAAGAAGGAAATAAGGAACAGTTTTTGAGATGATTATATTTGTATTAAAATGGTAATGCTTTGAACATTTTAGACGTTTTGACATAGTTTGCTTTTTATATGTTTGCCTGCTTACTGTAGTGAGTTATTATGTGACCTGGACATTGAAACGTTTCCTGTAGTTTTCACATTGATACTCCCTGGCCTTAACAAATCGTTTTGTGATGTATGAAAATGCCTGGAATCTCTCTTTACAGTAAATACATTCAACATCAGTTATTTGGTATCGATGGGAGGCTGCTATTTCATCGTGATATCGGATGACATACAAATGCACCAATGACACAGTGATTTTATTTCTTGCTGATTCCCTTTTCAAATACTGACTTATCTTTGCTCTCTCTTGTGAGTGATATCTCTTTGTGTTGTTATGCGCAGTGGTGTGCATGCAACAGCCTATTAGATCAGGTAAATGTGATATTATTAAGTATTATTAGCGTGTATGATGTTTAATGTTGCTTAATTGCACCCTTATATGTTCAGCTTTGCCTCAGAGGGCCACGGTGACACATCGAGGAACACACTAAAACATGCATGAATGTGAATAAACACAATTTATAGCCAGTTTCGATTTGCCAAAATGTCAAAGACTCCTTAGTGGCTACTTTTTGATACCTATGACACCAAACCAAATGAAGCCTAAAAGGTTTTTAGGCTTCATTTGTGTAGGTTTTTAGGCTTCACCGCTTTTGTGTAGAGCACTGAGTATATTTCTGATTATTTGAGGGAGGGAGGGAGCGAGCGAGCGAGAGAGTGAGACACCGTCTATATTTGGAAAGCAGACGTAGTGAGGTGCGGCTTCCCCAACCGGCAGAAACCGGCTGGCGGAAGATGGAGAACTGACCTGTGGCTGCGCTCACGATGCTGCCGGAGACACCAAGCCAACGTACCCTGCTAGAAGCGTCCCCGTTACGCATGACGTAGTGCCAAATTCATGCATTGCGCTTCCACGCACACCAGGGCTCCTCCACTCTCGGTTGCAGAAGGGTCTACTTTATTTCAAACTTGAGGTTGTACCTTTTACTGCACCAGGACACCCAGATGTTCGTTTGTTCGTGTACGTCACGCATAGTGCGTTTGAAGGACTATCGTCTCTCTGGTTTTGTCAGTCCCACAAGATGATGGGCAGGTTGCATAAACGCATGTAAAGAAGGGATTCGAATGATAGCCGGTAGTTATTCAACTAAACTATAGCTGAATATTACTTAATAAATAGACAATTCATTATCACTCTCAAATAGTTGAATATCTAAGACATTTATGGCATTTCATTACTGTTGATGTCATGGTAATCATTAAAAAAACGGTCTAGTTGTATGTCCATAGGCGAATGTATATGAAAATGAACGCATGTATGAAATAGATGTACCCTTTAGCCGGTAGTGTATTTATTTATTCATGCATCATCCCCGTTTACATACGTGCGATGACGCTGTGAGCCGTAGAACCGTAACGTGTTGTTATCTCATCCCTTATTCCCGAGGAGGAGGCGCGGCGGGGAGGGCAGAGAGGAGCGGGTTTGCAGAAGGGAGGGGACCTGGTAGTGTGTGTGTGTGTGTGTGTGTGTGTGTGTGTGTGTGTGTGTGTGTGTGTGTGTGTGTGTGTGTGTGTGTGTGTGTGTGTGTGTGTGTGTGTGTGTGAGGGGGGGAGGCGGAACAAACCGGTGTGCTCGGATACATGCTGTAGCTTCTCGCCCGCACTGCAGATTAACTCTTACCGCCCCGGGAGATGCAGCGAGACACGGTGAGTGGATTTCCGTATTTGTGATTATTTCCCCCCGCTGCGTGCACATGGCTGACGTCGTTAGCACCGCGCAGTGAGTCGGGGGGCTTTTAGTTCCCCCCCGCTCCCGGTGCTGTAAGTTACTTCTTTCCCGTGTGTACAGGTGATGCTGTTATTGAGCATCACTAGATCCACCCAGAGCAGGATCTCCCCTTCTGACACACGCACGCGCACACAAACACGCACACTGGCTATTCGGGAGCTGTCCGCCGTTCAGGTACTGGAACAGCTGGTCATCTGCAGGAAGCCGCAATGCCATGTCTCTGGACTAACAGAGCTGGTCCTCGTAAAATGTCCCCTGCAGTGTTCTCATTGGGACTCACTGATGGGGCGAAAGTAAGGAAAAAAAATGAGAATTTCGCTCTGGTCTCATATCCGCATCCCTCTCAAATGTAGCAGTGCCATAGTTGTCAGTTTCTTTCTGAGAGCTGGTGATGGATCCACGGGTGCTGACAAAGTTCTTCGGCCATCATCTGATGAATAAGGAATGAATGGGACAGTTCCCCTTCAGCTCTTGTCCCGGGGGCTTTAGCTCTATTTCTCTGTTGTGGTCCGGCTGTGCTGGTCATAGCGCTGTGTAGCCTGTGGGAATGTGGGAATCCCTCTCTTAACACTGGAAGCATTGCCCCAGCTGAAGGGCATTGTCTGGCTTATAACAGTGCAGCGCCGAAACAAACAGCTCCAATGTGATTGCCCCCTTTGAATTTAAATAATGCAAAGTTTATTTCCACTTTTTGTTGTTGAACAGACGCGTGTTTGAGGACGTGTATCTCGAAAGTCGGTGATAAATCTGCACTGTTTGCTCTGCTATGAGGGACGTCGTATAACGATGATATTTCTAAGAACTCCTCTCCCACGTGATCTTCCTCGCCGTGCAGAGTCCCCTGTACTCCTTTAAAGGGCTTGGCCGTCAATGCTGTCCAACATATGTATTATGAAGTGAAAAGGGAAGAAGGCAAGCTAGAGGCGCGAGAGTTGTTGGTAAGAAGAAGCGCTGATGCATACACGCTCCTCCTGGAGGAGATTAACGTATAACCTCTAGTCAAATGAGCAGGCACCAATTTACTGATCAGGGTTCACCTGACAGCCCATCGGGAACACGCTGTTCCACAAGGACAACGCACAGCCAGGAGTGCGGCGAGGTGCCGGGATGTATTGTGGAAGCGTGTGCCATTGTTTTGGCAAATTCCCTCCTAAAAAAAATAATTTTCACCTTTATTACCCTTGCTCGAACAAAGCCAAACACCCTCTTGAGATGTGACCACATTGCCGCACTCCGCTGGTCACAGTGGGAGGATTAGTTGGCCATAAGACTGCATTACACAGGACAATGGACGGGAGCCCGGAGCTTTCCCGAGGATGCTGTGAGACGATTAACGATACGGCTCATCTGTAGGGCGTTTGTACTAGTCACCTATTTAGTTTATGTTCCAAGAAGAACAATGTGATTTAATTAAAAACAAGAAGCAATTTAACACACTGTGCCGCACTTTCTTTCAGGAAACAATTGGCCGGAGCTTCTCCTGTCCGCAGCCTGTTTGACGACTCTTCAGCCAGCGTCACAGGGACGCCTTCTAAACTCACGGCCATCCTTCAACGGCCATCCTTCAACCCCCCCCCCCCTTCCCCCACCCATACCTACAGAGAGCAAGGACCGAGGCCAGGCGCTGTAGACAATGGGGCAAAACAACGAGATGCGTTGAGAGAGATGGCGGTCCACCCGAGGGAGAGGCGTCGTGGGGAACCGTAACCTTAAAAACCCAAAGCTCTGCGCGCAGACGTATACGTGACCTGCTGCTTCTCCACGCATGGCGACCGAGGCTGACGTTGGCCTCGTATGTTCTGTCCGTGCGCGGCTGTCTTTGCGCCAGTACATCACTCTACCGTGCTAAGTGTTTAACTTCAGCGGGGAGTTTCTGGTCTCCTCTCCAGTCCAGAGGACTCTCCCTCTGTGTTTCCGGATGCAGAACATCCTCGATCAGAACTTAGACATGGCCACGGCTCTACTCGCCGGCGAGAAGCTGAAGGAGCTGATCCTACCGGGCTCCTCTCAGGATGAGCGGGGCGGGTTACTGGCCGGCCTCATGGTGCAGCTCAAACTGGAGCTGCCCTTCGATCGCGTCGTCACCATCGGGACGGTCATCATCCCCATCCTGCTGGTCACCCTGGTCTTCACAAGGAACTTTGCAGGTGAGACCTCTGCCGAGGGGGACGGGGGGGGGGGTCATTGCCACGATTAACTGTCAAAGTGCACCAAATGTGTATTTCGAGTGAGCCGTGCAGCGCTTATGCGTCGTCGGCGACCGACAGCGATAAGAAGATGGATATCGCAGATTACGCATGGAAGGAAGCATTTGTAGAGAGCAGGCACAGATAGCTGGAGCGGGCTAGAAAGGCTTCAGCCCGACCGGAGATAAGAAAGGGGAGAGGAGATGCCTGGCAGCGATGGGGGAGATGTTAGTTCACTGCTGAGTCAGGCACTCTGCAGAGCAGCATTAACCATCTGGGACTGAGCGTTAAAAAAAAGTGGGTGTTCCTCAGTATTTCCCCACCAATGTGTTGTTGTTTTTTTATATTTTGGGCTTTGGCGATCACATTTTGAATGACTCACCATCCTACCCTCTTTGACAAACTAATGCACATATTGCCCTGGAAATACAACGAATACACACTTAAAAAAAAAAAAGTTAATAGTCTTTAGTGCAAATGATGAGTTTATTTAGATAGCAAGCGAATCCTTTCAAAGATGAAGTAGACTGAACTGCATCGTCACAGCAAAGTGGTGGTAATACATTCTCAATAAGCCACACTTTTTATTAGATACCGAAGTTCTAAACCAAAATAAGCGCCAGATAGAACCGATCGAGAACAACTTGAAAGTGCTCCCAATTCCTCGATCCGAGTGTGAATATGTTTCGTCTAACACAACATCCCTATTTGAACTGTTGTCCCACGCAGTGTGAAATGAAGGTGAGCCCTAACGTGACATCTAACGTTTCAAACATCCGTTGCACGAAGGAGAGCTGCTGACATTCTTAACCACAGTGTTTAGCGCAGTTGTGTGTGTGCAGTTTTACAGTATGGAAGATTTCAGCAGATACGTCAGGTATGTGCACCTTCTTTCACACTCAGTGCTGTTGATGAAATAGTTACACGTCTGTTTGTCTGAACTCATCTGTTTTCATTTAGTCATATCTGGCCAATGGAATAAAAAAATCTAAAAGATTATGGATGATAGGAGTTGTGAGTGAGTTTCTGAAAATCGGAGCTAGGTTCGATGTAGCATTCTTGTATCAAATAATACACTCAATGTATAAGCTTAAATCATCTAAATGCTAAAGTATATATCTTGTCTTATTCTTTCGATGTGTATTGTCCTCAGAGGAGTCCATATACTGTTACACACCACACAACTTCACAAGAGACCAGGCACTTTATGCAAGAGGCTACTGCTGGACGGAGCTGCGGGACGCTGTACCCGGTGTGGAGTCTCACCTTTGGCCTTCACTGTTTGAGCACAAGTTCCTGCCCTATGCCCTGCTGGCCTTCGCTGGAATCATGTACATTCCTGCTTTGGGCTGGGAGTTCCTTGGCTCGACGCGGCTCACTTCAGAGCTCAATTTCCTGCTTCAAGAGATTGATAACTGCTATCATCGTGCCGCTGAAGGCCGAGCGCCAAAGATCGAGAAGCAGATCCAGTCAAAAGGACCCGGCATAACGGAGCGAGAGAGGAGGGAGATCATAGAGAACGCGGAGAAGGAGAAGAGCCCCGAGCAGAACTTGTTTGAGAAATACTTGGAGCGACGGGGCCAAAGCAACTTCCTGGCTAAGCTGTACCTGGGACGCCACCTGGCTATTGTCTGCCTCAGTTCCATCCCCATTTCCTACCTGAGCGCCTACTATGCCCGCCAACGGCAGAACGAGTTCACCTGTGCGCTGGGAGAGCCCCCAGACATCAGCAGCTACAGCGAGCTGAAGCTCAGGGTCAACTGTAAGCTGCCCGCGGTGCAGCTGCAGCGCATCATGGCCGCGGTCGACATCTCTCTCCTCTGCACCATGAACCTCATCATCCTGGTTAATTTGCTGCACCTGTTTGTGGTGCGCAAGTCCAACTTTGTGTTTGACAAACTGCACAAGGTTGGAATTAAAACGCGGCGGCGCTGGCAGAAGTCTCAGTTCTGTGACATCAACATCCTGGCCATGTTCTGCAACGAGAACAGGGACCACATAAAGTCGCTCAACCGGCTGGACTTCATCACCAATGAGAGTGACCTCATGTATGACAATGTGGTCCGGCAGCTGCTGGCTGCGCTCGCGCAGTCCAATCACGATGCTACCCCCACCGTGAGGGACTCTGGGATACAGACACTCGATCCGAACATGGACCCCTCCGACCGTAGGGTGGGAGAGATGTTTGTGGAGCCGCTGGTCATCAAACGGCCTCGCAAAAAGATGAAGTGGATCCCAAGCTCAAATCCTCTCCCTCAGCCGTTCAAGGTGAGGCCCGAGTTCAATTCGTCAGCATTCATTTAGTATCAATGCTGGCGGAGCAAAATGAATTCTCTAATCATCTTTCTCCAAAGAGGTTTAGGAAGTGGCCCCAAACTGAAGATTAAGCTGTGAAATAACGTACCTGTATCGGTGTTTTCTGTCTTCTGTAAAGGAACCTCTTGGCATGACGCGTCTGGAAAATAACACCAAGCCTGAAAAACCCAAACCAGTCAGAAGAAAAACAGTGGCAGACAGCTTCATCGCGCCGATGTTGGATACCAAGAGCACACAATATCCTGCAATAAAAGGTATATAGTGCAATGAATACTAGATCTTTAAAAATTTTGATTTAGGTATTTGTGTAATGTGAAATAGCTCACCGTGACAAACCCACAATTCATCTCAGCTCCAGCAAACATTTCATCATCTTTCAGCTACTGTTGTTTCTAGAAGCTCACTTATTTGGATGACCTGTTTTTTTCTGTTTTGTTCTCCTTTTAAGTCAGACTGTTCATTTTGAATCGCAGATTTGAGTGGGATGGAGAAAAAGCTCACTCGCAACTTCTCTCTGGACGTCCATCCGTACATGCTGACCATCCGTAAGCCCAAGGTGGAGGCCTCGGCCGCCGACCCTCTTCCCTCAGAGCACAACATGGAAACAGTGTTTCTTGAAGGCACACACACTATTGTTCATGTGTCTGGTGCCATTACAGGTACGTGATCTTTCCTTCACAGTTGCGTCTTCTGGTTCAGGGTGGATTTTTATCACATTTCCGTGTTCAAATATTGAGGGCATCTTCGTCATGTCTAGTTCCACCCTGCATATGCCTGCGACTACAGACTGGTCCAGACAGCGGATGTGATATTAACAACATGTTTTTACATCTGCTAGATTCCACTTGCTTAGCAAATATTGAAAATGCAGCCTTTCATGATAGCCAATCAGTCTTTGCATGCAATATGTGCTGACCTTTGAGAATGTGAGTGTAGCTGTTTGTTTGTTTGCGACACACTGCCTGCACGGGGTTTGACTTGACAATCCACTGATCTCTATTTTCCAACTTTCCTGCTTCAGAAACAAAGGTTTGCTCACCAGAAATGACCAACACTGCCTTTTCTACAATCACACTACCCACCACAACGTACGCGAACGGCGTCAGCCCGAACCCTCCCTCCAGCGAGGATCCCTCCAGTCCCCCCCAGTCCCCCCCTCTTCCTCCGATTCTTTCTCCGCCTCCTCCGAGGGAGCCCCTCTCGCTGATGGAAGACGCTGCGTGTGACCCTCCGGTCCTCGACAGAGCCCCTACACACCAGCTGCTGAGTATACATCACACGCTTTTTGAGGAAGAAGAGGACGAAGAGCAGCGCAGGGACAGACTCGCAGAGAGAGCCATGGAGCTCATCGCTGCCGGGGAATGTTGAAGGAGGAGTAGGAGAAGAGGGACGCTCGCACCACGCTCTGCACACATGGCCACCAACGTCATCGACAGCCATCGACCGCCACCTCCGCTCTTCATCTCACGCACGTCTGTGGTGGACGGATTGGACAACGAGGACACGGCGTGGAACCCTCGTCGTAAAAAGCAAGCAGCCTTCACTTTTAGCTGAGAAAATGACTCAGCGAGGACGGGATAAACATGTGTGTGTTGACCGGTGTATTGTAGGTTATGATGTCACATTCATGTCTCAGGATGACTGTGTGCAGCTAAACAGCATCCAATGAAACCAGCAGGGATTCAACAGGGTGCTACAGTGCAGGGTCAAATAGCTATAAGCAAAAGGCTCAATGAAAGGATGAGAGATGAATGAAAAGAGGTAAATACAAAAAATAAAAGACAGACACTTTACATATCCGCAAAGAAGCTTCAAACGAAATGTATTTTAAAACACATATGATAATGCTTTGGCCCTTTATCCCGATAGCCAAGTAGAAAGGTAGCTCACGCAATACAGTTGAGATCTGCACAATAAATATGCAAAAGATCACAATATATTTGTGGCAATAAGGTATGCGCTTGCAGCATCATATTTCACAGATCGCTGTACGTGTTTAGACACTGTATATGGTGTGTTTGTGCGGTGTCACAAACAAATGTTTCATAGATTTGTCATATTCACTTCACAGTTGATTAGGAACATTTATCAGATCTTGACTCAACATCTTGCATGTCATGACTAATGATAGGTAAATTGGCATTTTCATTTAAAACAACTGCAGAAGTACACAAAAGGGCGGGGTTGTGAGGTGACATGCAACTAGGATATAACTGCAGTCACATGTGAGAAACTGAACGATTTGTCAGACCGGTACCAGATATCTAAGACAGAAATGCATTGATGTAGAGATGTTTTCTTCTCGAAGACTTTAATAGCAGCTTCAATATGATGAATGAGCTGGACACAGCATGGGACTTTTGTGTTCTGCTGGCTTCTTGTGGGAGTGCTGTGATGTTAAGTGATGAGTTGATGATAAATCATACGGCACTAGAAGGTTTATCACATGATGACTATGCTTTGATTGCCATCTTTGGAAACAACTTCTCTTGGTAGCTTTCTTGTCTCATAATGTGCCAACATCTGCTTTAAGAAGAAATTCAGTTAGAATAGGAGGTCTGTTATTTGTTGTGGATCCAACACATTAAAGGGATGTTAGCACTTTCACAGGGAAAGAATGGAAAGGAGGAATGGGTGCTTACCACAACCTCTCCATACACATTTATTGCAGCTGCATACGTGATTAAAGGAATATTAGTAAAGGAGCTTTGTTCACTGACATAAACCATTATGAGATCTACTGCAGAAGACAGTGGTACTGTGGTCAGGGGCTTACCTACATGATTGGTAGACCTATGCATAGTCATCATTTTTATTTCTGGGGCATTCAGTGAACATACACTTTAGATGAGCAATCATTTGGTGGAGAATGCAAACGACCCACTTCAGTGTCATGACACAGGGTGGCAAAAACTACTCTTGTTAGTCTGCTCAAGAACACTAAATGCATCCGAAAGCACTTTAATTAAGACTTGTAGCACAAGTGTGTGTGTGAGAGCATGTAATATGTTGAAAACACAGCTCTGCTTATAACCGATTTTCTGTGTAGATTTGAACATTGAGACAGTAGTCGAGGACGTACATCTGTGACAGTCTCAACGCTAGCTGGTGGAAACGTGGAGAAAAGAGTCCAGACTTTGATTGTACTGTGCGAAGTGTTATAGTGGAGAGTAATTAAAAAACATTTTCACTTTAAAAATTAAATGTGAGTGTCCTAGCAACCGCACGCTACATGTACCAGAATGCACTGCGGCTGTCACGTTCAGCTGAGCAGTGAGTGCAACGCTACCGCTGTACTGGCGAGGAGAACACCAACACACGGGCTGGCTTGCTCAGTAAGTTGTGCATATTTCTTTTTACACAACCGTTGAATAAAATACCCAATATCTAGTAAATGCCGGATGTTTATTCCGGCATTATGCATTATCATAATGCCGGAATTCTTTGTTGGAAAGTCGTTTTAGATTTGAGGAAATTCTTACCCGGACTTACTAACGTTAGCTTACATCGGCTTGATTCAACGTTAACTGCCATCATCATCCGGGTATCTAACGTTAGCCCAACCGCAGGAGGCGCTTAAGCTAAAGCAGTGCCGTAACTGACAACAACGGTAGCAAGTTGTTTTAAAGCGTTACTTCCTATTCGGTGGTGAAACCCTTATGCTCCCCATGTAGTTAAGTTAGTCGCAATAACGGCCACGACAGAGATATCCTCCCTCCCTCTTAATAAATCGGTTGACATTCGCTACGTTTCCCCCATTAACATTGTGGTTGCTACGTTGTTGTCGTTGGGCGCAAGCGAACGTTAAGGCGACGTCATCAGTGAGCAGCGCTCCAGCTAAACGCCAGCTGCGTCAGTTGAACGTCTCGCCGTAACACACCGCGTCCTGCTCTCTGTCACTCGCAGCTTCCAGTGCTTCAGACATGGATCAAGACAACCATTCAGAGGTGTGTAACACTTTGTGTGGTGTTTACCTGACCGTGTGCAATCAGCCCACGTCTCTCGAGCAGGCTAGACCTGGACAGACATGATCTCTTAATCTTGCACTGATGCAAATAAGCCCCCTGAGATATTGTTTGGTGTTTTTATGTGTCACAGGATGAGTCAATCGTTCCATCTGGCGACGCACTACAAGAGCAACTGCCTTGTCTACCTCCAGAGCTATGTAATTATGTGTTTTTTGTATGCTGTTGTATGCTCAAATACTGTGTCTTTTAGGCATTTCTTGTCTGTTTTGCAAAAGTTCATGTTAAAATACGATATATTGTTATCTTTAGCTTTCTGTAACTCAACTCCGTTTGTGTGTTAATGACGAGGACCTGAATTGCAACCACCATAGCTAATGAATTAAAGTAAATATTAGGCAAGATTTGAATTAAGGTAAATGTCTGTTAAATAACTACTTAACACAGAAGGAGGTAACACCATGGTGATTGATGAGACTTAAAAAATTAAAAAAATATGTTTTTGAGTAACACATATAATTTAAGGGAGTAAACATTTTATAACAAACTGTAACAACATGTTTCAAAAGTCACAATGTCTCTGCTGGTACTGTGTAGTGGACAGAGAAGCGATGGGGTTGCTTTGGGAGCTGCGATCCCAGCGCCGCCAGGCGTCCCCTAAGCTCCCGGAGACGGTGTCCCGCCTCACCGCCCCTGATGGCAGCCTCCTGTACCTGGTGGGCACCGCCCACTTCAGTGATAGCAGCAAAAACGATGTGGCCACGGTGAGAAAATACAATCTGATTTGTGCAGGAGACAATGCCATTTTTTTTTTTTATGTGAAGTGTCAGCGAAGTAGTTGAGCAGCTTTCTGAATGGGGAAAATTGTTGTAAAGTAGCACCTTAAAGCTTCTTTTGCTCATGTGTACATACCGTAAGTGCATGATTAGCATTCTCTTTTTGCCAAGCATAATCTGGTCTTTTGTTGTACATTAGTTACATTACCCTTTTTTTATTGTCTTTGCTTCCTTCGAAGCTGCTCATTTGCCATTTATCTCTTTCTTCTTATGCTTTCTTATTCCGTCTGTTACGTATCTCACGCAGACGATCCGCGCTGTGCAGCCAGACGTCGTTGTGGTGGAGCTGTGCCAGTACAGGGTGTCTATGCTTAGGATGGACGAGAATACACTGCTGAGGGAAGCCAAAGACATCAACCTGGACAAGGTTCAGCAGGCCATTAAACAGGTCAGGCTTTCGGAATGATGGAGATTACCGACGGTGCTATTGTGAAACACAGCAAGAGCAAATATGGCTAAGAAGGAACTGTGTAATCTGAATACGGCGTTAGGGTTTTTTTGTTTTGCAATATGAAGCCGCCCTGGTCCTATAGTGGCGAGGAACCCTGAAGGGGATCTGCCATTGTGAGTGGGGGAATTAACATCTCAAGCAGGATTAAGTGTCTGTGTCATTTTTTGTCTTCTTGGTTTTATTAAACCATGTGTTAAGTAAGCGTGCATAAAACACAGGACTGCACTACTGTCAAGTCTATTTAAAAACTCAAATTTCCTGACTTTCTGTCCTCTGTGTTTGTTAGAATGGGCTGATGTCTGGCCTCATGCAGATTCTCCTGCTCAAAGTTTCAGCGCACATCACTAAGCAACTGGGCATGGCTCCTGGAGGAGAGTTTAGGGAAGCCTTCAAAGAGGTAAAGTACCCAGATGCTGTGAAACAATCATTATCGCACAATATCATTCTTTGGAAAAGTGTTTTTTACTTCTCCATCAAATCGGTTGGCTACGACTTTCCGAAGGAAGATGTTTCTAGTCCTCTCAGCTCGTAAAGCCTTCGGTTGAGCCTCAAGCCAGAAGGCCAACGTTAAAGACGCAAGGCACGCTGTACAGCCATGTAATTGTTTCATAATCACTGTAAATATTTTCACAAGGAACGAGTCCTTGTGTACTGTTGGCCGCAGCCTGTTAGCGAATTGAAAAGCGAACAGCCTGTTAGACTAAAGCTTATATGAGTCATTAAGTTCCAGCATGGATTTAAATTGGTGAACAGACATTTTAACTGGAACTACTTAGCCAATGTCCACTATCAGCATAAATGGACACGCAGCTGCCAAACAGAATTGTTTCTTCACCCAAACCAAGTGTGTATGATGGATGTAGGTAGATGATACTTTCAGATTTGTCAGTTTATGTCATTCCTTTGTTCAGTTATTTTTCTTTCCTACACAGGCTGGACAAGTGCCATTCTGTAGATTTCAGCTTGGGGACAGGCCGATCCCTGTGACGTTCAAGCGGGCCATTGCAGCCCTCAGTCTCTGGCAAAAGGCCCGTCTGGGGTGGGGTCTTTGCTTTCTGTCAGATCCAATCAGGTAAACGCTCACCATGGTTAGTTTCACTCACAGCACACTGTGGTTAAGAACCACATGTGGGCATGCACCAGAAACGGTTGAAAATGATCACATATAGTTGCATTCATAGCTGCCTGTGTGTCCTGTGTTTAGAATTGTTCCCACACATATTTTACATTCACTCTGCCAATTTGTTGAGCTGACAGTCTTTTAGATCTAAATTGAAGCCTTTAGCATAAAATGTTTCCATCGTCTATTAGATTTAGCCTGTTGCATTTTACTAGTAGATGCTAAAAAATGCTTCAATCAACTAAATTCTACTAATAAGACTTGTGTAGTTTTGAAGGAAAGAACACCGACTGTATTTGGCAATTCACACGTCGGTTTATTTGTTCCTCATTCTTTGCTTACTTAATACTGTGTGAACAAGAACAAGTTTTAAAAAAAAAGTCTTCCCCTTCCAGTGTGACAACTAACGACTCTGTTGCACTGTTTGTCGTGTTTTTAGTAAAGAAGACGTAGAGAAGTGCAAACAGAAGGACTTACTGGAACAAACGATGGCGGAGATGATCGGCGAGTTTCCCACTCTGCACCAGACCATCGTGGCTGAAAGAGACATCTACCTCACGCACACACTGCGCCAGGCTACTCGCTGTGTGGAGGACCCCCGTACTGCTCTCAGTGCGTATCAATGAGCTCGTAATCACATGGTTATTATTCCCCATTGACATGTATGTGTATCGGTGTGTGATTTGACCTTTACCTCACAAAAACAGTGGGATGTTTTACTGAGTTTAAAAGCTAATTTTTCGTTCATGGTGAGAGCACAGGACTTCATGCTCAGTGAATCGCGTTGTCTACGTCTAGCAGTGCATTTTCTCAGAATAATTTATGCAAAAAGGCAGAATCCAGGCATTCAGGGCTTGTTTTGTTCATCCGTCATTTACACTCCGATCTGTCCAGAACACAGCCGGCCATTCTTCTCAAGACCTGTGGTGTCATACATGCTTATGAGATCTATAAAGAGTATGTGGTTGTAGAAGTTTTGACTGATTTTGTTCTGTTTTTGTTTTCCTAACAGAAGTGCCTGCTGTGGTGGTCGGTGTTGTCGGGATGGGTCACGTTCCCGGCATAGAGAGAAACTGGGAGAAGCAACTCAACATTAATGAAATTATGAGGTGAGTTCCGGATATAATATAAACATTTTTTAAACTGTTTTAATCCCACAGCTGCTCATTGTGTCCGTCCGTCCCTCCCTCCGCAGTGTGGCGCCTCCCTCGCATTTTGGCTGGGTGCTGCGCTCGGTCATAACAGGCGCCATGGTGGGAGTGCTGGGATACGCCTGCTACCGTGTCGGAGGGAGTCTAGGTAGAGTGCTGATGTCTTTACCTACAGTCAAATCTGTACTGGAGACTCTCCGGCAACCCTCTGCTCTCAGCCAACAGTGATACGACCTTTGACCTGCTGAAATCATACATTTTTCACCAATAGCCTTAAGACCAGGAGTTTAGGCTGGAGAGAGGTTTCACCAGCCCACACAAGAATTTACAAGGATTTCAAGGGATTTGGAGCATCCCACCATATTGAAGTCCGTGTAGACTTAGCAGGGCTTTACTGCCAAAGACACCATGACAGTACTCGTTGTTTTCGTCCAGATTTTGTGCAAATACTGCATTTTGTAAGGTTTACAAATGCCAATAATTTATTCTAAATAGATTCACCTTTTTAGATAGCAAGTAACATCAGAATTCGTGTCGGTCAATTGTCCTGATGCAAATGAGCCATTTTCCTTGACGGCAATTCTGATAATTTCCCCATTTCAGATCTAGCACTTTACAAAGGAATATTGTATTACACATAAAGCCTGTGGATGAGGAAAATAAACCACAATATCAAGGTTGTCAATATAATCTAGAGGCAGAGCGTGACCCTCATGCTGTGAGATAAAAGTCTGACTTCGACGAAAGATTATCTTCTTCATTCTACTATTTGTAATTCACATTTATTAAAGCTTACTTGGGACAAAGGTATTTCCCATGTGCACGGCCCTGTCCATATTTACAGATAAGTGCCTCATGTCGCAGCAGTAAGTGCTGAACGGGGATTAAATGGGATGGGTTAAAATAAGTATATGCATTTTACATATACTACAACCAAATGGTCAATGCAATTTTCTAATATTTTGTGTTTGTATCATTTTCTGATGGACTTTTTCTTTCATCAATACTGTTGTTCTTATCCCATGTCCCATCTACTTTGTCTTGTCGCCGTAGCCTCTTCATTTTAGGACCATTCATGCATTCAAAACTGACCTGATGCAGGGCAGGCTCAATCGTGCCTCAGGATGCGCATTGCATTGGTATTGTAATTTGTGTAATTGATTGTATCTCCAGTAAAAAAAAAGCACTGTCACATATTGGCTGATCTGTCAGTAAGTTGTTCATACCAAAAATATGCATGTGTACAGAAAGACGTCTCTTAAAAAACTCCACATGAGAACCTCTGTAGTTCAGCACACCAGCTGTTTGTACTTTTATGATTTATGCATTATTACTTGTCAGTTGGAAGTTAAATGGGATACAGAGGATAGAAATCAAATTTTTAGGTTTTTTTTTTTTTCTTCGATTGAGCCTCGAACTTTACTGAAATGATTTCCCAGTGGACCTTTGTTACGGACTTGCTTTGACGGCTGTGAAAGGATCAGACCGTTGAGGTTTGTCAGAGTTTTGGAGGTAAAGCCTTACACTGCTATCACTGCTGCCTTTAACCCTCAGATTACCAGCTCTGACCTCCATAGTACAGAGCTTCTTTTTGCACATGGAAAAAAAAAACACATCCCTGGAGCTGTGTTATGTAGAAGATAATAGACTGAACTCCAGTCTGCAAGTGCACAAACCAACATCAAGTTCCAAGAATTCCATGAGCGATTTATGTACAGTACTGGATTTCTTTGGATGTAATCATAAGCGCTATGACTGTAATCATTAGCTACTTTTTGTATGTGAAATGGTCCAATGGACTCATGTGGGACTTGAAGCACTTGAAGCATTGCCACACATAATTAAATTCTCCACACGTTAAACTTTTTCTGATAGAATGTCTTCCAATTAATACATGAGTTATCTTGCTTTTGGGGTTAGAAAGTACAAATAGATATATAGACATGAATCTCATTCCCTCAAACTTCATCATTTGTCTGTGTCCTTCCCATGTTATTTTCAATGGTATTTTATGTTGGAGAACTGTATGAATCCCTGTGTTCATTGCAGGGTTGTTTTCCTTTGTCATTGTTACCGAACTTTCAATTCTAACCTCTGTAATGAATTTTGAAACAATTTTAAATAAAGATAACATATATTTACCTCCTGAAATGTTTTTTTTTTCTTATTTTCTTAGACAGCCAGTACATCCGCTTCCAAGATTAGATGAGATGATTACACTTGCTTTGAGTAGTTATTTCATTTCTTTGAAAGGATGCATATTGCAGTTTTTGGATGGAGATTTGATAGAGTTTGATTCTAATTAACAATTAGAATTAGAAAAAACAATGTATGAAAAATGTAAACAATTAAGTGAAAGTATTAAGTGACCATCAATACGAGGAATTAATTTAGTAAAATAAAATATAACAGGAATAGACAACATTAAAAATGTAAAGTGCATGGACAATTTAACGTGTTCTGTGATGTGATATTTAGACAAGTTCTAATAATACAAATAGTATCTGTACTTATTTTGAAATTGTTTACGATGTTGGCCGAAATAGTTCCGCCTTCACTGCTTGTTTCCGGACAAATAAGGATGTAACACAGTCGGTCTCGCGGAGCTTCCGCCACACTGAGCAGGATTACGAAAGCATGACTTGTCCACATTGCAGTTAACTGCGCCAGCGAATAAAAACACCCAACATTCAGCAGGCGGATGGCCGCGTCTGGATGGCTTATTTAAGGCCTCGGCTCGGACCGTCACGCATCTTTGTCCCCCTCCGACTCCTCGCTACGGCCGGCATGGCCGACATGGGTCGGGCGACAAGCCGCTCCCCGCGCGCGTGCGGTGAAAGGGGCGTGTTTCTCCCGCGTGAGGCAGCAGCCGCTGGCGGCGCCCCGGTTCGTGGCCGTGTCCCGCGACGCCCTCGCGCTGCTGGGGCTCAACGGGGAGGAGGTCGCGCGCTTTAGATCAGCGGGTCCAGGATCATGCCCGGCTCCGAGCCCGCCGCGCACTGCTACTGCGGCCATCAGTTCGGGCAGTTAGCCAGGCAGCTGGGCGACGGCGCCGCCTGCTACCTGGGGGAGGTGAAGGTGCCCCCCGGTCAGGATCCGGAACTGCTGCGGGAAAACCCGAGCGGTCGGTGGGAGATGCAGGTGAAAGGAGCTGGACTGACTCCCTATTCAAGGTACAAGGGTTATTACAGCTATAAACCTACAGGTCATTTAAATGAGCAGATGTGGTTAAAGGGATCGTTACATGCAAATTGATAAGTGCAACTGAATTAAATCTCTGCCTTTCTTTGTGGGGATCTACTTTTTCACCCAACAGACAAGCTGATGGCCGCAAGGTCCTGCGCTCCAGCATCAGGGAGTTCCTGTGCAGCGGGGTCATGCACTTCCTGGGCGTTCCCACCACCCGAGCGGCCTCCGTGGTGACCTCCGACACCAGGGTCGTACGAGACGTCTACTACAGCGGGAATCCCCACAATGAGCGGTGCTCTGCGGTCGTCCGCATCGCTCCCACCTTCCTCAGGTGAGTGGCGATCTTCAGCCCCTCGTGAGAACCTCTAAGATACGCATGCACACAGGGGTTGTTTTTCTCAGCTGCGCACTCTGTGCAGGTTTGGATCCTTTGAGATCTTCAAGCAGGCCGACGAGCACACCGGCCACCAGGGGCCGAGCTATGCACGGGATGAGATCCGCGGTCAGATGATGGATTATGTCATTGAGATGTTTTACCCTGACATCCAGCGGGACCACCCGGATAGGGTGGAGAGGAACGTGGCTTTCTTCAGAGAGGTCAGGGCATGCGGGTTGCACGTTTCAGATAGTGAATCGGCTCTCGGGTCATGAATGGAAGGCTTGTATGTGGCCCAATTAATCCTCCTAAACTGACTGCGTGTGCAGAGTCACGTGACGTGGGCTCAATATGAGATTAAAACGTTTACTGAGGCACTAAACTCCGGGTGGAGGCTTTTGGCAATGTTTTCAGATTTTAAAGTCTTGTCGGTGTTTGTAGGTGGCGCGCCGCACAGCTCGAGTCGTGGCCCAGTGGCAGTGTGTGGGTTTCTGCCATGGAGTCCTGAACACAGACAACATGAGCATCCTGGGACTCACGCTGGACTACTGTCCAATTGGCTTCATGGACAGGTCAGACGTTTGCATTTGATTTGATTTACTTGATGTTCTTCTTGAATGGGGATTTGATCCGATTAATCATCGTCATACAGGAGGAGGTTAAAATGATTGAGAACTGGTAATCGCGGGACACACGCGGTGCGCCGTTTACCAGATTTCTCCTAAACACCTCTCAGGTTTGATCCGGATTTCATTTGCAACGCCTCCGACAACTCGGGCCGATACTCCTACCAGGCCCAGCCGGCCATCTGCTGGTGGAACCTGGTGAAGCTGGCGGAGGCTCTAGCCCCAGAGCTGCCGCCGGACCGGGCGGAAGCCGTCCTGAGCGAGTACCTGGGGCTGTATAACGGCTTCTACCTGGAGAACATGAGGAGGAACCTGGGCTTGCTGAAGAGGGACGAGCCTGAGGACGAGATGCTGATCACGGAGCTGCTGCAGACCATGCACAACACAGGTGGGACGAGCGGCTCGATGGTACGATTAGTAAATCATCTCTGGTGCCACTGCCGCGTCGCCGCGGTAACCTTTCCTGGGTTCCCTCCTGCAGGCGCCGATTTCACCAACACCTTCGGTGGCTTGAGTCGGAATTCCTGTCCCACCGAGGGAGAAAGTGAGGAAGAAGAGGAGCTCGTCAGGAAAGCCACGGCCCTCCTGCTGGAGCAGTGTGCATCCTTGGAGGAGCTCAAGGCCGCAAACAAGCCCGCGATGGATCCACGGTGAGCGGGCCGCGCGTACTCGTCTGTTTCAGACCGTCACGGAAAGGAAAGTAATGACCGCCGGTTTAGTTATTTTTAGGGTTCGAGGAATTAGGAATGAAGTGGCAAAGCCACTTCGAGCTGATTAGCCAGACAAACAGTCTCTTTAAGGTTCTTCCCGTTAGAAGTTGCCGTGGTGTCCAGCAACTTGACCTCTATCCAGTGACCCCTGCCAGGGCAACGTTGTTCTTTGACCCATACTGTGTTTGCTACTGGACACAAAGTAGTGTGCCTCGTGAAACGAGGGACTAAATCCAAATAAAGTTGACTGGATATTCATGTGTGTCAGAAAACTTAATTGTACTATTTTGTACACTTTGCAAAACCTTTTGTATAACAATACAAAAATAGCTAAATGATTGGGAATACATGTTCACACGACATGTTTGTATTTAGTTTGATGTGATGCAGATTTTAGCCTCCAGGTGTCACCATTTAGCCTTTAGATCATCTTGTGTATACTTGTTTTGGTCATCTTGTTACCTCAGATTGTCCGTAATTTATCAAGTACCTGCACTGGTCCTCTTCTTACTCCAACATGCCAATAAACCATCGAACCGTTGTCTTTTCTGCCCGCGGATGGCAGCGAGCTGGCGATGTTGCTCTCTATGGCGCAGAGCAACCTGGCGCTGTTCCAGATGATCTCCGACAGGACGACGATTTCCAGGCAGTTGGAAAAGCTCAGCAAACTGAAAGACCTGACGGAGGCCGGTCCCGACGAGCTGAAGACCAAGCAGGCCGAGGACTGGAGCCGATGGATCACACACTACAGGTGAGTGTCTTTTTGATAAAAATTCACGGTGGGATGGAATGCAAAGATGAGGACGAATAAGGTGGAGGACTGCATGGAGCGTATAAGAGCTTGTGGGTGGAAGTGTGGCTGATAAAGGGGGAGGGAGGGAAGTAAAGGAGAGGAAATGTGCCACTGCTCCACTGTGTTGTGTTCTCTCGGCCACAGGAAGCGCCTGTCTCGGGAGCTGGAAGGCCAGAGCGATGTGCAGGCGGTGCAGGAGGAGAGGGTGAGGGTGATGGACAGCACCAACCCTCGCGTGGTGCTGCGGAACTACATTGCCCAGAATGCAATTGAGGCTGCAGAGAAGGGAGACTTCTCTAAGGTGGGGTTTGGATTATACTTTTGCAGAAGATTGTCACTTTGTCATATTACACAACAGTTTTTTTGTTGCATTTGGGCCAATTTTAAAGTAAAGATTTAAACGCATCCAAGTTCCATTCCATTTAGTTCTCCTTATTCTCAGTGTTGGACTCTCAGCTTGTTTACCTGCCGTCACTTCTCACTTCCTCTCTGCGCTGCAGGTCCAGCGAGTGCTCAAGGTTCTGGAGAAGCCCTTCTCTTCGCAGCCCGGTCTGGAGTTTCCCGCGTGGGTGGACGGAGGCGTGGCCACCAAGCAGGCCGAGAGGGACGAAGGGGAGGAGGAGGAGGAGGACGACGACGACGACCACCAGCAGCAGGAGGCGGCTTCTAAATCCACAGCCAGAATTCCTGTTCCTTATGACAGCCGGCCCCCGGCCTGGGCCCGTGAAATCTGCGTCACATGATCTTCGTAAAAACTTCCCTTGATTGTCTTGCTCTTGTGCTGATAATGATGAGAGTTCATTGGAGTTGATTTGGGCATTTTCATGTCCTTTCCGCTTCATGTGCAACTCTCCATGACTTGGGCAGGCAGCGTCAGGGATGTTAGCGCGAGGCGTGATGCCCCATAGGCCACCTGGCTGAGCCAAAGCAGACAGGCGGCGGGTTGAATTGAGGGCAATTCAACTTGAATAGACACTATTATGATGACGTGACAAGATTTTCAGCATATTTGAAATTTCTCAGGAAATGACTTTAAAGTGGTAAATGTCCTAAACACAATCAGTACTGATCCATTGAGAAAAACATTTTTAAGGTGGATCTTAATTAATCTCCTTGAATGTAAGACAAATTAGGATAACTGGCACTTAGAAAAACAAGGCATAAAATGACATTCAGAGACATTGCTCTTTGGACTTTTTCCTAGAAAGCCGTCAGCCCGTCCCGTCTGCTTTGTGCTCGACTAGCAAGTCCTGCAGCAACCTGTCTGAGTCTGACAACCTGTGAGGTGTCACCTCAACATAAACCAAATAACGTGTGCGTGTGAGAGAGAGAGAGAGAGAGAGAGAGAGAGAGAGAGAGAGAGAGAGAGAGAGAGAGAGTGAGAGAGAGAGAGAGAAAGAGAAATTAAGATTATAATAATGATGATAATGTTAAAGTTTGCCCTGTATCTGGGTAAAGGAGAGTCATTGCACTTGAACCAATAAGCCACAGCAGTTAAACGCACAATACTGTTTATTCTCTATTTTATTTATACGTGTATGTAGCATTGCCCGTTTGCCTTCTGTCATAGCACCTCTTTATAGGCTTGGAGTCACAACCATAATCCATCACTTTTGTTACTTAACATGTAAAGTATACAAAGATACTAAATCTTAAACTTAGTGGAAAATAGGAACTGTGTGTTAGAATTTTTCTATTTTAGCCATGTGATTGTGTAAACTTATTTGTTAACTAATCTAAATAGTAAATAGATCTTTATCCAAATCTATGTTCAATAAATTGTAGAATTAACACAAAACTACAATGTTCTAAAAGCTGCATATTTCTTTAATAAACATGGACTTTGTTGTTGCCAGTCACACACTTGCGTTCTCATTTCATGAGCTCCACCCAACGTTGGACGTGTGTTCAGGTCGCCGCGTGACACTTTAAAGTTCTCCTCTTTCTTAACTAACCACATAATTGTGTGTCAACGGCCCGCTGTGTCAAGACAGCAATCATCGTGTCCCAGCAAGTCCCAAAACACCTCCCTCCTCCCCCAATGCGCAAAGGAACCGCGCATCCACAGTACACGTTGCCATTTAAAGGCCAGCGCTCCTCTTGCTGTGCAAACCGCCGACGCGTCTCCAACCGACGCCGTGCGCTCAGTTCCGTGTTCCGCGCATTCCGCTCTGCGCTTCACCTTTTAATTACAGGGCCTCCCGCGGGACTCGGGAGCGGCTTTCCGTGACCTCAGGGTGCGCCCCGACCGGCTGCCACGCACAAGAGCCGCGCGACAAGCGAGCGCGCGTGCGTGCGCGCATAGGTGGGATCAGGAACAATGGGTGTGTAGCGACGGAAGAGACACGCGCACAAAAAACACAACTTACCAAAAGAAGAAGCTCTCTCAGACGCTTCATCGGATCGTAACATCAATCAGGATGTCCAAGCGAATCAGGCCCGGTTATTACCGCCAGGACGTCAACAAAACTTCATGGGAAGTACCGGAGCGGTACCGGGAGCTGAAGCAGGTGGGGACCGGGGCGTACGGGACGGTGTGGTAAGTGGATTCCCAGAATAATATAAATGCTGCTCCCGCGGCGGGTTTATTATCGCGGGTGGGTGGAGGGGGAGGTGGAGAATGCGACGGAACAGATGGTGCCGTCCTACGGGCCAAACAAAAGAAAAAGTAGCGCGAGCGCACGCTGCTTCACTTCCTCATATGATGGGGGGCCACGCAGACACGCGCAGCCGCGGCGTCGCCTCCCCGCGGTCCTCCATTGGGGCGCGTGGCTGCGATGATTGCGCGTGTGTCTGTGGGTGTGGAGCGCGTGCTCGTGAAAAGAAAGTGACGCGCTCACGCAAAAAGTTTACACATGACACAGAACAACGGAGCCTTTTCGAAGGAACCTCGTTCGTCGCGCAGCACGCGCTCGCTGTGTGTGCCTGCCTGCGTACGTGCGTGCGTGTAAACACGGGGTTTTGGGGTGGGGGGGGGTTAAACACCGGTTTGGGCTTCTGGTTGAACATTCCTGATCTCAGAAGAAAAGGCAAGAGAGGTTCCCCAACATGCTTTATCCCCCCCTCTCCTCAGCTCTGCGGTGGACTCCAGAACGGGAACCAAAGTAGCGATCAAGAAGCTGTACAGACCTTTCCAGTCGGAGCTGTTCGCCAAGCGGGCCTACAGGGAGCTGAGGCTTCTCAAACATATGAAACATGAAAATGTGAGAGTCTGCGTGATCAGCTGTCCATTGTGGGGGGGGGGGGGGGAGGTTCCAGGCCCCCCATATTTCTCATCACATCAGCGCATTTGCCTTTCTGACCAATGTAATGTGACCAGAAGGGTTTCTGTCTGGCGCAGGTGATCGGCCTCTTTGACGTCTTCACCGCTGACCTCTCTCTGGACAAGTTCCATGATTTGTAAGTGCTCTTTGTGCTCTTGCCGCTGCAGCAGGGCAGCGTTCGTCCGTCTGTAACGTCTCTCCTTCGTTTGTTTGTGAGCGTGCAGCTTTTCTCAATCATTTCTAACCGGCCTCCCGTTGGGTGTTTCCCACTCAACGCGTCTCTTTCTCCCCTCAAGTTACCTGGTGATGCCGTTCATGGGGACGGATCTGGGGAGGCTGATGAAGCTTCAGAGGCTGTCCGAAGATAAAATCCAGTATCTGGTTTACCAGATGCTGAAAGGGCTCAAGGTGGAGCACTCTCTCCGTCGGTTGTTGATTTTTTTTGCACAATTTATTACTTTACAACGTTAGCTCATTTGTTCTGTTGATTAAATCCTGGTCGTATTCTTTTATTGCAGTATATTCATTCATCTGGTATCATTCACAGGGTACGTAGTTAGTTATATTTCTACCATGTACCTGAGATAAATATGACGTTCAAACATTTTTAAATAAAGCTGGTGCTTCCTGTTGACAAACCCTTCCCAGTGCATCACGGTGACTGTGGTTTTAGTTTCCTTCTGCCGCTCCGTCACAGACTCGCAGTCATAGTTGCTCTTTTCACATGGACATTTGTAGGACCTCAAACCAGGAAATCTCGCCATCAACCAAGACTGTGAGCTCAAGGTACAGTTGGACACATCTTGAAAACCTCAACACCCCCGTCACGTGTTTAACGACGTTGCTTCGTCATTGCTTTTTTGTTGCATTCTCTCTCAGATCTTGGACTTTGGTTTGGCGCGGCAGGCAGACAGCGAGATGACGGGGTACGTGGTGACTCGCTGGTACCGAGCCCCAGAGGTCATCCTGAGCTGGATGCACTACACGCAGACTGGTAATAAAGAGCTAATTAAGTGAAGAAAAAGCCTGACTGCTTTTAACAACGTGTGGTTATGTTCGCTGCTGCCCATCAGCGCCGCATTAGTTGTTTTAGTGTTCTCGCCGGCCCTCAGATCTTCTGCTTCTTTACAGACCTTTACATCCTCTCAGTTGTGTTGCTCTGTTTCTTTCTATTTAATGATTTATTGTGCGTCTTGTTGCAGTGCATTGTAGTCTAACAAGGCCACATTGGTACTTTTTCCTCATTTTAAACAATTCTATTTAATTGTAAATAGAAAAATACTAAGGAATACTGAGGAAAGCTACACAAATGTGTTTTTTTTAAGTGGTTAGATGTGGTGTTAAAAAATGTGTAATTGGATTCGGACGGTGATGTTACGTATTATCCACTAGGTGGCGATCTCAACACTTTAATATGTAACGTGCTTTTTCTGGGGAATCTTTAGTCGCTGATCAGTGACCCACAGTGTCTTGTTATTGTATCTTGCTTAAGATTCAAACAAAACATGTTAAAAGTGTTGTTTTCTGCTCGTTTCTCAGTGGACATTTGGTCTGTGGGCTGTATCATGGCGGAGATGGTGCAAGGAAGACCCCTTTTTAAAGGCAGCGACCGTATCCTTTGACCTCCCCGACCCCTCTCCACTGACATTTTTTTTTGGAGGATCAAAACGTTGCTTGACGTTTTCCAATCATCTGAAATTATTATCTTTTTGTATGTGACTTTTCTCGTTTGACCCTTGACAGCAGTTCTTAAGACCTAAATCAGCTGACGGAGATCATGAAGGTCACAGGAACCCCGACTCAGGAGTTTGCAGCAAAACTAGTATCTGACGATGTGAGTTGTGGGCATGCAACTCATACAGAAAATTAGGAATACACTCCTTTATCTTTAACATATCACCCCCACCCCCCCACATCTAAAGAATTTTAGGAATTGGAATTCCAATCGAGAGAAAATCTGCGTTTGTGCTGCATTCAATGTACTCACTCCTTTTCTCAGGCCAGAGGCTATGTCAAGAGCCTCCCGAAAGTGGAGAAAAAAGACCTCCACAGTGTGTTTTCCACAACTAATCCACAAGGTGAGATGGTGCTCAGACTCGCCGATTGATCGCATTTATCCGTTTGACAGTCGCACCGAGAGATTTCAATTCCCCCGTTTCCACTCTTTCGTCAGCCGTGGCCGTGCTGGAGCGCATGTTGCTGCTGGATCCGGAGAGCAGGGTGAGCGCTGAGGAGGCGCTCATGCTGCCCTACTTCACTGAGTTCAGAGAACCGGAGGAGGAGACGGTACCGCAGCAGTACGACCACTCGTTAGACAACACGGACCAGTCCTTGGCCCAGTGGAAACGTAAGCAGGAGCCACGTTGATCCCGGTGGAAGGAAGCAAAATAAATGGAGAACGGAGCTGAAGTGAGCTTTTGCGTTTTAATGATCAGTGCTGTGCTTCTTTCTTCAGGTCACACCTTCACAGAGATCTTGACCTTCAAACCAGTGGTGCCAGACTCCAAGGAAACTGCGCTGTAAGACAGACTGTGTCCGTGGAGCAGCGGACCAGAACAAACTGTCATGTCTTTTTCTAAATCTTGACCTGGGAGAGAACTCTATGCGCTCACAATTCAATTCTTCAATCCAATTGATTTTATTTCATATTGCCTAAAATCACTCATTTGCCTCAAGAGGGCTTTAAAGTCTGTACACAGAAAAAAAAAGGAACCTTCGGAAGACAGAGGAAGGATTCCTCTCCCGGGATTGATGGACTGCAAAGGACGTCACGTGTACGGAATGAACGACATAAAAGATGTGCAGTATGTTCAATTCATACGACGGGTGATTCAAATATTGAGAGTAGTAAGCCGAGTGCAATGACAACCGCCATCAAATATACAACCGCCATCAGATACAACCGCCATCAGATACAACCGCCATCAGATACAACCGCCATCAGATACAACCACCATCAGATACAACCACTATCCACAGAAACCAAGCCGTCACGTCTTGGGTTCGACATTCAAAATCATATTGGTCCTGTAGCTTTCTTCCTGAGTTTAGCATCAGACCGTCCCACCTTGTCCTGCAGTGTACTGAGGACAATAGTTCAGTTGCTGTGAGTCAAGTATTAATATTAATCAATAAGCAAATAGGTAACCAAGGAATTAGTGGGTATATTACTTGAGTCACTTGGTTCAGTTTCCCTTCAGTGGTACATATCTTTTTTCCTTGTCGTATGTTGTTTTGTGAAGTAGCGTTCCCTTATCTAAGTACCGGTCCTTGAAAAGGACATTCAATTTGCATGAATGGGACGTCCTTGTGTGTGTGTGTGTGTGTGTGTGAGGGGGGGGGCAGGGGTTACTTATTTACATGCCTGCTCTGACCTTATTCATCCTAGTGGCCTTAAGATAACAACAAAATGAAGAAACTGCCCAGCTGCTGATTGTGTGAAATCCATGCCGGCAGGTTATGAAACCAACATTCACATTATAGTCACCTGCCAAAACCAGACGTACAACCGATTACATTGTTTTTTGAAACAAAGCAAGTGGCAGACAACACATTGTCTATGTTGTCCGTGGGTGTCGATTTGTACGTTGATTGGTGACTTGACGTAAACAACACTCATGTGTTTTTATCATTAAAGAGTCTCCAATTATGTCTTGTTTTTTTTTCATTTATTCCATCATTATTCCATCATCATCATCAACTGTCAAACCTTGGATTTTAACTTTAGTTTGCAAGCCGAGGGTGCATTAGAATCAGAAGTCTTGGGGTCGTCGTTGCGCAGGGGTTAGAGAAGGTGTGCTGGGAAGCACAAGATTGGTGGTTCAAGTCCTGGCTGCCCCATGTTCCATGTCGAAGTGTCCCTGCGCAAGACACCTAACCCCTAATTGCTCCACGGGCAAAAATGTGAAAAAGCCATGGGTTTAAAGTGTAACGTAAGTCGCTTTGAAGCGTCTGCTAAATGACCTGTAATGTAATGTAATGTAAAAGTCTTCCCATATAAATGACAATAATCCATCTGGTAATAGATGAGGCCATTTTGGGACGCTCCGCCTGACGAACACCATCACCAGGTGGCAGCAGGCACCAGGTACACAAACCAGTCACACAAACCAGTCATGACCAGGCTGCATCAGGTGGGTCAGTCTGCCACCTGACGTACCGACTCAACTATGTTGATAGAAATCAGGCTGCATATGGGAAACATTTACGATGAATCTGTGTTGACGCCACCAGCATATAAACATTTTTTTGATATCCAACTAAATACGTCTGGATTTAGTTGTCTGGAATCGCACAACATTTGGTGCAAAATGTTTGTGGCTCTTGCACAATATGTTCTAACTTTAGTGACCCCTGGATTTCTGATCTTTAACGCCATCATCGGGGGTCAACTTTTAATGACGTTCCCATGATCGACAGTGCGTTTACATCACCACGTCAGCGCTGTCAATGAACAATGAATGAACTACACTCCCTCGGCCTGTTATTCTCCCTATAGCAGATTAAACGAAGCCACATTAGTTGTTGCAGTGATTTATTGTGTTTCAGTTAACACTGACAACCTTTTTTTTCTTCTTGATACGATTAATGACTTTGAGTATCAAGCGTTTACACATTCTTTCATAACGCCTGTTTGCTGTTATTCAGAACATTCCTCCACATGCCCTCCCTCGCCGGGTGTTGAATTTAACAAGCTCGTCTTGGGTGACCTCCGGGCCCTTGACTCCCAAGGGTGACTCTCCCCGAGGACAAGCCTCCTCCGAACCCCGGGTGCACGTTGTGTGTCCTCCTCGTGACACACACGCACACAGTTGACGAGTTCAACCGTCCCCGCCTCGATTGTTGACCGCGCCGCTTATTTTCCCGAGCACGTTTGATTCAAGGGCCGCGTTCATTGTTGGATACACACACCCGTAAACTTTGGACTGACGCCGGCTCAGGAGGGAGGACGAGTGGAATGGCAGCGGTGCTCAAACACGCTGATGTGACCGAGGTCACCGCTATCCAAGCGGAATGTCTGTTATAAATGTGTTTACTGTGTGTGTCGGGGGAGGGGAGGGGGCACAGTGCTGGGAATCTCACCGTGGTGATGAGAGGGTCGGCAATTTGTTGAGATTCTCGGATCATCTCGGTTCATGCGTGTGAAAAATAGAACGTGTGTTTATCAGTGAGCTTGGAATGTTTTCAGTTTGAATCATTTTCCTCAAAGTAGGAGCTGCGGCACGGTGATTCGATAAAAACGCTCCCCCCCTGGATTTTCCGTCCATCAGTTTCTAATTGAAATGAAACACACTGACACAGCAGTGACAGTGAGTGTTTCTTCTCCAAATAATTCGGGCTGTCGTGTCCTTGCTGGAGACAAATTATTTTGAGTTGCAGCAGGAGTGAAACTCAAAATCCTTCAACGCTCCCAATGTCCTTGTCTGTGATTGTTTCTGGGGCTTTGCACAGATTCATGCTTTTACATTTCAGGGTATTCCCGTACATGATGTTCACCATGTGACTGTCTGCTTGGTTCCAGATGTCGGTCTGGATCTCCGCTGCTGCTCTGTTGCAAGTTGGCAGAGGTCTGCGTTTATTCACACATGGCTGCAAATGGCCTTTTCCACATTCAAAAGAGAGCAAACGCTGCTCCATCATTTCTTAATTAGGCATGTTTACATGTTTGATAGTTGCTGTTGGCTTGGGAGGGGGGGGGATAAAGCTTTCCGGCTCCAGTATTCTTTGTTTGTTTGTTTGTGTGGCTCGGTAGGATGGTGCATCTGTGCGGAGGTCAAGCGGTCCCAGCCAACGTGGATCAAGCAGGCCCGACATTCTGTAGCTGAGGGGCTCTCAGCCTAACTCGCTCCCCCTCCTCCTCTCGAACCCTCCCCTCTCCTCACCCACGCGTCTCTGATCTCGGGGAGATTGTATACAGAAGCACACGTGTCTGTGAGATGCTTCAGCAGGAGAGCGGGACCCCGGGGAAAACGATGGAGAGGAAATTACACACAGGCGCACATGGAGAAGTGTGTTTGGGGGGGGGGGGGGGGGGGGGGATACGGTGGGGTATGAACAGGAAGGGAATTGGGAGGTTTAGGAAGTGAAGGGTTTGATCGTGTTTTGAGTAGAAACAAGAAATGGTTTCATCTTGCTGTGTTCAGGTGCTGCTGGGAAGCTTCTACATCGCGGATTTTTCACGTTTTTCTTGAGTGAGAAAAGATTTACTCGATTATTTCACGTGACATCTTGACAGCTTTTTGTGTGCTGGATTCAATGCTAGAAATAATTAGCTAACAAAATATGATCAAGTTTATCAAAAACCTGCAGATCTTTTTCTCTTGTCTCCAGGGGGAGAGGTTGCTTAAAGCTTCTTACTGTTATACATTAAGGTAAATCCGAAGAGTTTACCCACATTTAGAGCATCTCCGCCCTACTCTCTTCTTTATTTTTTCAGCCTGACATTGAAACAATCAAAAGCGACAGTTGAAAGTAAGGGGAGGGAGGGGGGGTAAATATAAAATACTTACAAAAGAAGTCGGTCAACGTAACGCATGCAGAAGCTGAAAAAAAAAACTGTATCAGAACTCCCACGGGAGTTTCTCGGACATGTTGTATAACCCACTGCTCCGCTGTCAATCTGTTTTTATCGGATTCCTCTTTGTTCTTTAACGTTGGTCCTATATGAGGGAAAAGCAGAGGCCCAGCAGATGTTCACGTGTGCGTCCTCTCCACGTTCTGTAGGTGAGCCCAACGAAAGCTGCACTAGATGTTAAAGTCTGAGCAGATTCAACCTCAGACGATGAAGCACGATGGATTTGTGGTGACCTCAGCGGTGACTTCATCCGGGTCCACAGCTTCCCCATAAACCAGGACGAGGCCCCGGACTGAATCATGGGTAGGACCTGACTCTGAGGTTAGAGGTCACAGTATTTCACAAAGCCGGTGTTTCCCTTTTTGTATTAAAGGAGAGCTGCCTCCTGTGGCTTGGTCCAGGTTGGAGGGAACCTGAAACATCATCCAGAGGGAGGAAGAAGTGAATGGAAGCCAGATTAGAAAAATCAACAGGCTTTTGCATGAAAGTTCCGACCCTGTGACCTTTATATAAGGGAGTGTTACAGTACACCTCACACCCAACGTCATCCAGATTTTCAATTACTTTGTAAATGCCAGACAGCTTCTATTGTCTATTGTCCATCTCTATTGGCCTGTGCTAATGAAATAATAAACCTCTTTCCACCAGCCTCTCACATGAAGGAAGTGGAACACAGGATAAAAAATAAACAGGCATTTATCGCACAACGTTGGACGAAAATACACCCAGACGTCAAAGCCCTTAAAGTCTGTCATTCAGTGTGAGCGTTTGTCTCCCCAGCTTGATGCGTTTAGGGGCTGATGATTGCTTTCAGGTCTTTACGGAGCGCAACGAAATAGAAACCGTCGCATTCCCGCCCCCCAACCAAAACCCATCCTTGCTGAATTAAGGAAACTCTCGCGGACCCTCGTGCATCAGCGGTATGTGGCAGAGTCGATCCTTTCTGTTCAGCAAACGATGGTCTACCTGGTGGTGGGTGCTCTCTTGTTGGGAGGGGCAGACAGGTGAGAGGGAAAGGTGTGTGTGGGGTTACAAACTGACAGGGTGTTAGTCAGGAATGCAGGGCGGTGACCCGAGGCCACACTTTTGTTTGCGCGTGGGTGGGATGAGGAGGAGGAGGAGGAGGAGGAGGAGGAGGAGGAGGAGGAGGGAGGAGCAGGAGGGAGGGGGTGTTCCTGCTTGACCCCGCCTCCTTCATTCACCATTATTTGAAACCAGCCCCCTTTGCCCATTGCCATGGATCGTGTTCCCGGGGACTTCAGCCCGAAGACATCTGCCGGTGTCCCCGCGTCTCCAGACCTGCGACCGATCTCCCGTGCTGGTGCCCCCCCACCCCCCGGCCTCCCTCCCTTTCTATCTCTCTCTCTCTCTCTCTCTCCTCCTGCACATTTTTTGTCTTCCATTCATCGTTGCGACCATGAGGAGCCGCAGTGAGCGTCCCCTCCACGTTTCCCGGCGGTAACCCTCCCGTGCATCCGAGAGGCGAGTAGCGGCGGCGGTGCAAGCAGCAGCAGCAGTGCCCTCCTCCATCTCTCCCCCTAACCTCCCCCCCTCTCTCTCTCACACACACACACACACACACACACACACACACACACACACACACACACACACACACACACCGCCGGTGCCATCGAGCAGCACGTTTCTTTTTGTGCGCTGTGCAGACTTCTGGCCGCGGGGCTTTTGCGGCTTTCGCATTCTCTGCGCTGCGCGCTCCCGGCTTTTGTGCGAAAGGGGGACAACGGAGGGCGGATGAAGACCAACACAAAGATCTTCATGTCTGGGGTTTGAAAGCGGATCCCTTAATCCAGACTGCCCCCCCCCCCATCGTTTTTTTTTTAGTTGTTGTTGTTTGTTTGTTTTTGGCACCATGGAGTCTGTGGAGAAGGAGTGCGGGGCGCTGGGTGGATTGTTCCAGGCCATCGTGAGCGACATGAAGGTAGGTGACGCGCGCGCAGCCCCGCTGGTGGACCGGGGCGAGATGTGACCTTTTGCGGTAACGCGGTGGCTCATCGGGCGCATATTTTTGCTGCCTTTGTCTGTTGTGCCCCCCCCCCCCCACACTGGAAACACCGCTGCAGGTCAAAGGCAGAGATGAAACACGTAAACCCTTCGTGTTATTTGCAGGTCTATTTAACAATACTTCATTTGACCAGAATACCTGCCAACCTGAGCTAAATAATGAAATGTTTAATTTTAAAGAAAGACCATTTGGGTGCTTTAATGTGTTTTGAGTTCAAAACCTAAGCTCATAACGACTACAATCAAAAATCGATCATTCAAGAGAAGGAGGAGCTTTAGAATTTGGGAGGTCATTTCTACGCTGTGCAGCACAACTGTTTTTGGCTGTCACGTGACCCCCCCTGACAACTGTTCACACTTCATCCAGGCTTCACCTCGCGGAGCAGAACTGACCCCAGTGGAACGCTGCTATTATAGAAAGTTTGCTGTCATGACCTATAACCCACATATGTGTGTGTGTGTGTGTGTGTTGGGGGAGGGTCAAGTTGAGGAAGTTGAACCCGGGTGGTCTGATGTTTTTTACCACAACAGATGGAAAGTGTGAACGCGTTCATCGGGCCCCCATAGTAGCGTGGCGGCTCCTCGTTGTGCAGGACCCCAATGCAACAAAGTGTTGAGAGGCAGCGAATAAGCCCAACAGGTTCCTTATTGATCACTGGCTCGATCGAGGCCGCGGGGGCCTTCGCGCCGACTGTTTATGGACCCTCGCCTGTCATGCTCCATTGGAATCAGCTCCCCGGCTGGCAGCGATGTTTGGGTTTTTTGTATATATATATATATTTCCCTTCAGCGGTGCGCTGACAACAGGCTCGCAGAGACAGACGGTGAAGGGGTGGAATGGGGGGGTTGGGAGTGGGGGGCTCTTAGAAAGAGGCAGTGTGTGTATTGACAAGCAGCAAAGATGAATGAGGCTGGAGCCCTTAGTCAGCACAGTGTCCGTGTCCACATCTGATGCCATTCCTGCCGCCTGGCTGGGCCACACAGCGCTGTCAGAACCAGCTTCACCCCCACCTCCCCCACCCACCACCACCCCGGGAACAACACGGCTGATCTCGCGATTGGGGATGAGAAGTCACAGTACAGTGTACAATTACTAAATGGCTCCCTTATGGACGGTACTAACCACACGTTGTGATGTAAGCGGCACATGTTGGTTGCATAACTGTTATCGAGCAAAATGGTGGAGGTGGAGGGTGAGAAGGAAACGAAGGAAGGATGGAATAGCGCGACACCGGCTGGCTTCAAGAATCGGGTCCGATGTGACTTCCAACCCCCCGTTTTGTTGCGTTGACCTTGAGCCTGCCGCCTCCCTGGATGGCGGTGAGCGGCGGAGGCGTCAGAGGAAGTTGCTTCCTGTCACCCTCCCCGTCTCCCCTCGACCTCGCCCTCGGCGCTGCTGGGGGTGAACGAAGAGAGCGGATGTTTGTCTCAGCCCCTCCTTGGCCGCCCTCCTTCTCACCCTCACCTCCTCAGCTGTCTTGGCAGCGCGTCCCCGGGAGTCACAGGCCGAACAAGCTAATTGGACACCTGCTGGAGTCAAGTGCAGCCGGCGAGGCTTAAAGTATCTTGTAGTTTGTTGGGGAGACGACGGCTCCCAAATCGCTTTCTAAGGCGGAGAGGAGCTGTGAGTTAAAATTAAAATGCTGTCTCGTCGGACGCGAGGAAGAGCAAGACCACTAAGACTATATATAGTCAGGATGTGCGGCGTCTTTTGGCTCCTGTCCCTCAAATGGGCACGTGGGCCGTAATGCTCTTCCTTTCTCTCAAGCTCTTGTCTAATGGGATCTAGATAATGAATGTGTTTCATGTTTTGGCTTCCGCCGTTAGAGCTCAAAGCAGCGTGTGATGATCCTCGGGTCAATCAAAGCCACATTTTTCAAAGAGCGGCCGCACTATTGGCACATAAACAACCATATTCCAATTTTTATTCAACCTTATTTCCTTATTTGTTTTTTTCATTTTATTCTGCTTTCCACTGTGTGTGTGTGTGCTTCAGAGGGTATGACTGTTCTTTTCCCTTTCATCACCAGAGCTCTTACCCCGTGTGGGAAGACTTCAGTGCCAAGGCCACAAAACTGCACTCTCAACTCAGGTGAGGAAAAAAAAAAAAAACGGTTCTTGAGTAAATGTGTTTCCTGACGCGGTGCCGGTGTAGTAAATGTGTGCCCAATACATTTACAGGACCACCATTCTGGCAGCGGTGGCCTTCCTAGATGCCTTTCAGAAGGTGGCAGACATGGCCACCAACTCCAGAGGTAAGGAGGGATCTCTATTAAGTCTCCACTCAGACTCAAGAAGGTGCCGCCTCTCAGAAGTGGTGGAGGCTCTGGGGGATGGGTTGGGGGTGGTGGTGGTGGTGGGGGGGGGGGTCGCAGTCGCCCACCTGACCGCTCACTGCTGGAAGGACCGGAGGGGCCTTTCTTCTTCAGCCGTGTTCACACATTCTCACTAGTTTTACTCCGTAAGCTTGTCCAGTAACAGTAGAGTTTATTACCCCGGCGATACATAAACCTTAAAGGGTTCCTGATGTGACGCAGGTATGGAGCGTGACCAGGGCAGGATTTCAAAGGGAAACCGCGTACTGTAAAAGACTGTAAAACAGCAGAATGATTGATGGACCAGAGAGAGAGGGAGAGGGAGGAAGAGATAGCTGAGAGGGGTGCATCACTACGCCTGCAGAAGGATCAGGCATTTAGGAGTGGGGACAAAGACTTGTACACAGAGGCAAAATACAAGTTTAGCAAGGCGGTGAGAGATGCTAAACGACTGTACTCTGAGAAACTCCAACAACAGTTCTCAGCAAGCGACTCTGCTTCGGTTTGGAGAGGCCTCAAACACCTCACCAACTACAAGCCAAAAACCCCCCACTCCATGAATGACCTCCGCCTGGCAGACGAGCTGAATGAGTTCTACTGAAGATTTGAAAGACAATGTCCTGATCCCATCCCCCACAGCTCCACCAACCTGCTGCAGTCCCTCTCCCCTCCCTCCCCCAGCCCATCAGGTGCTCACGCCTCTTCATCATTATCACCTTCCCCTCCCCCACCAGCAACGACCCTCTCTATTCTGGAGAGAGACGTTAACCGGCTCTTTAGAAGACTAAATCCCCGTAAGGCAGCCGGTCCGGACTCCGTTTCCCCTCACACCCTGAAGCATTGTGCTGACCAGCTGTCTCCGGTGTTCACTGACATCTTCAACACCTCCCTGGAGACATGCCACGTACCAGCCTGCTTCAAGGCCTCCACCATCATCCCTGTTCCCAAGAAGCCCAGAATCACAGGACTCAATGACTACAGGCCCGTCGCCCTGACCTCTGTAGTCATGAAGTCTTTTGAACGGCTAGTCCTGACCCACCTGAAGTCCCTCACCGACCCCCTCCTGGACCCACTGCAGTTCGCCTACAGAGCCAACAGGTCTGTGGACGATGCTGTCAACATGGCCCTCCACTACATCCTCCAGCATCTGGACTGTAACCTACGCCAGGATCCTGTTTGTGGACTTCAGCTCTGCTTTCAACACTATCATCCCGTCTCTGCTGCAGGACAAACTCTCCCAGCTGCACGTGCCCGACTCCACCTGCAAGTGGATCACAGACTTCCTGTCTGACAGGAAGCAGCACGTGAAGCTGGGGAAACATGTCTCAGCCTCTCGGACCATCAGCACCGGTTCCCCCCAAGGCTGCGTTCTCTCCCCTCTGCTCTTCTCCCTGTACACCAACAGCTGCACCTCCAGCCACCAGTCCGTCAAGCTCCTGAAGTTTGCGGATGACACCACCCTCATTGGACTAATCTCTGGTGGGGACGAGTCCGCCTACAGGTGGGAGTCTGACCATCTGGTGTCGTGGTGCAGCCAGAACAACCTGGAGCTCAACGCTCTAAAGACAGTGGAGATGGTTGTAGATTTCCGGCGGAACAGAGCCCCACCCTCCCCCATCACCCTGTGTGACTCCCCCGTCACTATTGTGGATTCCTTCCGTTTCCTGGGCTCCATCATCACCCAGGACCTCAAGTGGGAGCTGAACATCAGCTCCATCACCAAGAAGGCTCAGCAGAGGTTGTTCTTCCTGAGGCAGCTGAAGAAACTCAACCTGCCAAAGACGATAATGGTCCACTTCTACACGGCCATCATCGAGTCCATCCTCTGCTCCTCCATCACCGTCTGGTACGCTGCAGCCACAGCCAAGGACAAGGTCAGGCTTCAGCGGGTCATCCGCTCTGCAGAGAGGGTGATCGGCTGCAATCTGCCGTCCCTGCAGGACTTGTTCGCTTCCAGGTCTCTGAAGCGAGCTAAAAAGATCGCGGCCGACCCCTCCCACCCCGGACAAAAACTGTTTGTGCCCCTTCCATCTGGCAGGAGGCTGAGGTCCATCTAAGACCTCCCGCCACACGAACAGTTTCTTCCCGTCGGCAGTCGGGCTCATCAACAGAGCCCGGTCCCCCACTGCCTGACTATAACACTCCATCTGTCACTCCCCCTCACACTGCACCTGCCACTTTAACTGCAATTCATCACTTTGTCACTTGTCACTTTGTCTCTTGTCTGTTACTTGTTTGTTAGTGCACTTTATGCTTAATATTTTTCTTTTTAACTTTTTAATATTTAAATTTTTTTAACTTTATTCCCTTGTTTTATACTAACCCATAGCCTTAGCCTTATTCTACTAACCCATTGCATTAGCATTTCATCCCACTTTATTTTATTACTTGTGCACTGTTGTCTTGCTGTCTACTGCCGCGCACTAACCGCCAAGACAAATTCCTTGTATGTTTGACATATTTTGGCTAATAAATGTTTCCTGATTGAGTTGTTCAGCTACAGATACATAAAATCCCTCTGTGTGTCACTCATACTCCCACTCACTCTTCCTCTCCGGGGACATTAACTTTTAGGTTTATCGGCATCCCTGCGAGGCCTGCGACTGTATGAGTGATGCGTGGCACGATATGCGATGACAGACTTTGTAGCAAGCGAAGAGCAACCGATGAAATGTGTTTTTTTTAGGCCGGTGCAGATGAATAGTCGCAACATCTGATGGTTTCAACAGTCTGCCTATGCGGTTGGCATGTTGGTTTGGTGGTCGGTCAAACGGCATTTTGGTTCAGACAGAAAACTAGACACCATGACATTGGTGTCCAGGTAAAAATCTTGTTTCTTGTGAACCTTTTCTTGCAAAACTGATTTGCCTCGGCTTGCTCTGCTGCCATGACGCTTTGACTGTACCAAAGAACATCGGATTACATGAAAGTTTGTGATTTTGTATTTGTTCAACAGTAGATTAATTCTACTCGCATTGGCAAAAATAATAATCTGATGGTTTCGACGTTCGGCCCGTGTTTATTTGACACAAAGTAAATCCATCAGCCTCGTTGCTTTTCTCTTTCTCTTTAACCGCGTGCTGCCTCTGTGAGCCGCGTTAGTCTTTGCGTGCTCCGAAACCTGGCAATTAATTTAGCAGGAGGAATGTCGATATGTACTGGAGCCTTTTGAACACCGAGCTCCATGGGCAGGATTTAGGCAAACATACCCTTCTGGCTGCTGCAATGTTAAAACCTATTATCCCAAATACTTTGGCATCCAGATGTTCCTCCTTCTTTTCCACTGACTGACTCAAGACACACACACACACACTACTTTCTCCCCATTTCCAAAGTTTTTTTGTGGCTGATTCGGGCCCCGTTTCCTGTGCGAGTGTGGGTCTGTCTGCCTGCAGCGGTCATGTTTATCTCGGCGTCTGCACCGACCATATAGGGCTGACTGCACCGCGGGGGGGTTGGCGGCCCCACGGCTCTGAACTGTTGGCCCGCCGTTGCTGTCACCCCGGGTTCCCCGCCCTCTCGTGTTTCGCGGACGAGCTGCAGCTGCTGGCACAGCTGGAGCTTTCATCGCGTTTGTCTTCTGCTTCCCTTAATCCTTACCTTTGACACACTCACCGCGTCAACCCCTTGTAGCGCACACAAACACACATACGCACGTCTCCCCGCCAAGCGAAGTTTCCCCTTATTCGGGTTTTATGATTTCCTGTCTCTACGTGTTTTGTTGTCTTATTGCTGGAGGAAAGCTCTTCATACATGTGCAGCAATAGCTGTATTGTATTTGATATCACTCCCCCGTTTCCAACCTCAAACGGACTCCTTGTTCACGCTTCCTCTTTTCCGTGTTGTCCGCTTTTAGAGTTTATGGTCAGGGGCATGGCGTCAGTGTGTGTGCTTTATGAGGCAGCTGGAGGGGGCGTGTGGCACTTTGTCCGACTGCAGTGTTTCTGTAATCTGTGCTGATGGATGGATGTCTAAAGGCACATCTGTCTCTTGCATCTGGGTTCAATAAAGGTCTGCCAGCCACAAAGTCTATATTAGATATCTCAGCTTTCCCCCCCTGGGATTTGGTCTGAGGTCAGCTCAGTGGCTTTTGGTGTGTTGTCCGGCCCATTTTCATCACTCTTATTCGTATTAAATTGTTGTGCAATGTATTTAAGAAGAGTGGACTTGTCTCATTATTCGAACAAGCCCTCAAAACCCACCTCTTCAAATTAGTGTTCTGTGTGTTTCTTTTGTCTGCTCGTTTCTCTTTCTTTCTTGCTTGATTTTGTTCTTGTCTGTCTTTGTAAAGCGTCTTTGGGTACCTAATAAAAGCTTATAATTATTATTATTATGGAGAATAGTGGGCTCTGTGTATGTGGTCGCCGGGCTGAATGTTTTAGTGGAAGGTTGACTTCATTTTGCTGAAGGTTGAATGAGAGTTAAACAGCCGGTCGCTCAGAGCTAATGGTCCATCAGGCGATGGGATATACAGTCTGGGAGAGTGAGCTGGGCTGAGGTTGGTGGTGGTCAAGGGGGGGGGGGGGTGTTGGCCATGGGTGGGGGTTGTGGTCGGGATTTCCACAGCCCCGGCTATCCAGGCTAGGCAGAGGCGTTTAGCTAATCCTCTTAGCCCCACTCTGTAACACACAGACACAGACTGCCTTTGCCTCCCTTCCTGATCAGCCGTCCCCGGCTTTAAACATTCACACTCGGGGATCACCGGCCAGACTGCCATGCGCTGCAAGTTTGTGCTCGGCGCTTTTCTCTTTACATCTGTGGGCCAGAGCCTTTACAGCGTCCGTGCGCACACACACACACACCATTACACAGACATAATGTCCCCAACGGGGTCACTGCGAACTCTCCCTGCCTGACTCCCTTCTCTCACCCCTTCAGTCCATGCTCCCTGATGGAATGGAGATGCGGCGGTAGATCAGTGTCTCCTCAGCCGAGCGGTA